TGGGATCAAAGTGAGAATCACATTTCTCAATTCTGAGAAATTGGGAGGGTAGATAAACCATAATCCATTTGCCTGAAGCCTGGAGTGTCCTGTGAGAAAACTGTTGAGAGAACTAGGGCATAAGTTTGAGCATCTGGTCATTTCATCGTAGAGTGAATCTGACAAGAGCATTGAGTTGGACTTTCAAAACGAGTTCTTGGTACAGCTCCTACTGGGCTCAAAGCTTCTGTTTATAAAACCTGAAAGAATTGTTTTCATAAAATTCAGTTCAACATTGGGGAAAAGCAGCACTAACTTGAGAGCCCATTTAACTGGCAACTGAAAGAGAAAATAGGAATTCTCTCCCAGTTTCAGGGTTTTTTGTTTTACTTTCTTTTTTCTCTCTTGTGTTACTGGTTGTTTGTTTGTTTGTGTATTTGTTCTGTCCTATTTTGTTGGTTTTAACTGTTGCAATTATTATAGTTTTTACACACAGTGCATTTATAGGTAAGGCTGATTTTCTGTTCATTTTTTTAGAAAGCGTTTTCTCAACATCTCTCCTATTTGACCTATTGTTGTTATGTAATTTTTATATATTATTAATTTTTTATAATACACATTAGGCAAGACCCATTTTGTTAGTTTCAAGATGTTGGAGTATTTTTGATCCTCTTTTTGGAGATGATAACAATAACAACAATAAAACATTTTAAAAGGTCACAGAGATCCTTGATAGAAATCTCTGAAGAGCCCTAGCTGGTTTGGCTCAGTGGATGGAGCATTGGCCTGAAGACCGAAAGGTCCCAAGTTCAATTCCAGTCAAGGGCATGTACCTTGGCTGCAAGCTCCTCCCTGGCCCAGGCCCTGGTCAAGGCATGTGCAGGATGCAGTAAATCAATGTGTTTCTCTCACATCGATATTTCTCTCTGTCTTTCCCTCTTTCTTCCACTCTCTCTAAAAATCAATGGAAAAATATCCTTGGGTGAGGATTATTTAAAAAAAAAAGAAAGAAAGAAAGAAAGAAAGAAAAATTAGCTTTTTCACCCATCTCCCCAATTCCATCTGGCAACTGTACAACTAACTGTTCTTTCTATCTGAGAAAGAAAGAAAGAAAGAAAGAAAGAAAGAAAGAAAGAAAGAAAGAAAGAAAGAAAGAAAGAAAGAAAGAAAGATCTCTGAAGAAAAATTAGCTTTTTCACCCATCTCCCCAATCCCATCTGGCAACTGTCCAACTGTTCTTTCTATCTGAGTCTATTTTGTTCTACTTGCTCATTTATTTTGTTTTTTAGTTTCAATTCTTGATAGATTTGTATTTATTGCCATTTTATTGCTCATATTTTTCATCTTTTTTCTTCTTCTTCTTAAAGAAATTCTTTAACATTTCATGTAATAGTGGTTCAGTGGTATTACATTTCATGTAATACTGTTTTAGGTAACTCCTTTAGCTTTTCTTTTTGTGTCTGGGAAACTCTTCATCTGTCCTTTGATTCTAAATGACACCTTTGGTTGTTGGTTCTTGCTTTTCATCACTTAGAATATTTCTTGCCACTCCCTCTGGCCTGCAAAGTTTCTGTTGAGAAATCAGCTGACAGTCTGATGGGAACTCCCTTGTAGGTAACTGCTTTTCTCTTGCTGCTTTTAAGATTCTCTCTTTGTTTTTAACCTTTGGGACTTTAATTATGATGAGTCCTGGTGTGGGCCTCTTTGGGTTCATCTTGTTTGGGACTCTCTGAACCTCCTGGATTTGTATGTCTATTTCCTTCACCACATTAGGAAAGTTTTCTGTCATTATTTTTTCAAATATGTTTTTGCTTTCTTTCTTCTCCTTTCAGCCAGCACCTCCATGCTGCAAATGTTGAAACACTTGAAATTGTCCCAGAGGCTTCCTATACTATCTTCATTTTTGGGGGGAATCATTTTACTTTTTTCTGTTCTAATGGGTGTTTTTGCTTGCTTATATTCCCAATTGCTGATTTGATTTTCAGCTTCATCTACTATACTGTCGATTCCCTGTAAATTAATTAGTCTTCATTTCAGTTGGTGTATCCCTCAATTCTGACTGGTTCTTTTTTATGGTTTCTGTCCTTTTTCATGCTGTTGAAGTTCCTACTAAGTTCCTTGAAGTTCTCACTAAGTTGCTTAAACATCCTTATAACCATTGTTTTGAATTCTGTATCTGGCAGTTTATTTGCCTTCATTTCATTTAGTTCTTTTTCTAGAGATTTCTCCTGTTCTTTCATTTAGGATCTTTTTCTTTGTCTCTGCATTTTGGCTGCTTCCTTATGTTTGTTTCTGTGTATTAGGTAGAGCTGATACATCTCTCGGATGTGGTAGAGTGGCCTAGGGTAGTAGATGTCCTGTAGGGTCCAGTGGCACAGCCTTTCCATTCACCCAAGCACAGCACTCCATGTTCACCCCTCTTGGACTGTATGCATTGCCCTGTTGTAGTTGAGTCTTGATTGCTTTTTGTAGCACTGAGAGAGATTGACTTCCAGGCCAATCAACTGTGAGGACCTGCTGCAACTACAGCAGAGGAGCTATTGTGCAGGAGCTAACTGTACAGATCAGGATTTACTTCAGTGGGGCTTTGGTGCTTGCCAAGTCTGCCCCTTAAGTGTGTCACTCATGGAGGTGGTAGGGTTATAATCTGGTGTCATCTGAAGCTGTCCACTGGGTGGACTGGCTGTGGGGCCTTCTGGGAGGTGTAAGGTCAGCCCCTGCCTCTGCTCTGTCTGGGGCCATCTGGCACAAGCTACAGAGTGATATGCAGATAGCTGCTACTTTTACTGGGCTTGGAGATTCCCAGGAAAGGCAAATCAAGGTGAACTGCTGCTAATGTCTGGCCTGGGTTCACTTTGCAAGAGGTAGGGGGGTACACAGAGGCCAGATGCTGCTTGTTTGAGAGATTTTAGGAAAGTCCAAAGCATGAGGCAAGAGAGACCATTCATATGGAAAAGCCATTGCAAACAGTTTGCTTGAGCCTACAAGTTGGGTGGGGAGAGGACTCAGGGAATCACCAGGGCTGGGCAAACAGTGTAAACCAGATTGATGGAACCTCAGTGTGGTACTCACCTGTTGGCTCTGTGGGGAGGTGGAGGGAGGGTGTCTCAGAAAAGGAACAATGGCCTCTGCCAGCACTTTTTTTCTGGCAGGAAGCTGACCCCAGCTCTCACCCTGATCCCAGACAATTCAGTTGCTCCCCATATGTTCCTTTCAAGCCTCTGCCCAGCAATGGAGCTCAGAGAGAGTGAGTCTGAGTAAGTCTGTGCCCTGGTCCTTTAATAGGAACTGCCTGGGACTCCAGCAGCCCTCTGTCTCCCTCAGTCTCAGTCCCAGCTGGGTTTTACAGACAGAAGCTGTGGGGACTTCTCTTCCTGGCTCTGGAATCCTGGGCTGAAGAGGTCTAGTGTGGGGCAGGGATCCCTCACTCCTCAGGGGTGACCTCTACCAGTGAGATATCCCTCCTAATTTTTATCTGCCATATGTGGGTATAGAATCAGCCCATTCCTTTCTCTACCCCTACTAGTCTCAATGTGCCTTCATCTTTAAATCCCTAGTTATAGGATTTTCATTCAGCTAGATTTCAGGTGGTTCTGAGTGATGGTTGTTCTGTAGTTTAGTTTTAATTTTGATGTCAAAAATTATTTTAAATTTTAAATTCAGAAGAAAACTTTTAAAGAGATAATTCACAGAGATTTATGCAATTGCTTTTGATAGTATGTGGGGTTTTGTTCTTGCACAGGGCAGAGGATATTGACACATTATTTTTTTCCCGTGTGGAATAATAATAAACAGTTGATTAAAATGCCTGAATTTTATTTCTGGCCTTGCCACTACCTAGTAAGGTAATGCTGGGCAAGTCATTTAACATGTCTTCACATTTCTAAGAAATGAAAGAGCCAAATGAGATTTTCTTTCCTCCTGGCTATATAACATTTTAAAATCCTAAAATGTCAACGGTAGGCACCAAAGCTCTTTTCTACAATTGCATGTTGGATACAGAATTTCAGGGTGTGCTCAGTGGGTACCAGGACATGTGTCTCTTGAGTGTTAGACAAATGCTCCCTCTGCTTCTCTAATTAGGTCAACTCACTCCTCCTTAGCATGCATCAGATCAACAAGGTGGCAATGTTGAAATTATTCTAGATGAGAGCTGCAGCTTACCTCATACAGGTTCTGCCAGCCCAGAGTGGGTGAGGCTGAGACTGTGGGCAGATACTTTCTCATGGACTCATCATTCCTGTTCCAGCTTTGGCTCCTTTGCCAACCACATTCTAAAAGTCTACAAATTAGTGTGACTGCTGTTAGCTCAGTCCCAAAGAGTTGCTGTAAAAGTAAATAAATATTTTACTTTAAGTGATAGTTCTTAAATTTTAACGCATTCTTTACTTAAAATGACAAAATTCTATTCTCCTGGCCTGCTTAAATATTAGTAGTCTAAGGAATTGATCACATTGCCACACAGTGAAAATGACTAGGTTGCGATTCATTTTAGTTATTGCTGAGAGTTTCGAATTAATCTCTCAGCAATTAACTAGTGATTACAACTTAAAATAAAAATGTTGTACATGTCTATTTAGTTGAGCTAGATAGAAACGGCCTTAACATGTAAGATTCATTTTCTTCCAATCAATGTTCTCACCCATCACTAAAAATAGAAAATGTCCTAAAATTTTTTGACATATTAAATAAAAATATTTATTACTACAGTGATCTTCAATCAAAGGATAGTAATTATTAAAGCCTTAGAATGTGACTATAGGAACTTATACTATTTTCTGTAGACTGTATCTTTCTACCTATCGAAGGAAGAAAAACTAAGAAAAAAGAAAAAGATGCTCCCTATGGTCCTTATTACCTGACAGTGAAGAACGGGGATGTTATGGGCTGTATCCTATGCACATAACTCCAGGTTGCGTCAAAGAAAGTTCTACACGCCTTCAAATTAAGGGATTGGTGACTGCAAATAGTGTGAGGGAGTGGGAGGAGCCAGATGGTATTGGGACATCCTACACAATGTTTCCATTCCAGCTCTGTGTTCTTTCATTCCTATCAACTGAGCTTATTTAATTTGCTCCAGAATTTTGGGAAGGAATTACAGCTGGAAAATATGTGTTTTTAAACCTACAGATCCTTCTGACTTTAGAATTAGTTGTTTATTGCCAGGAAAGCGTAAAGGCAGATGTTGGACCATGTCAAAAATCTTGTCAAGAGAATGGTTGTTTCACACAGAACTGAGATGTGGCTTCTGATGCTGGTGGTGTATGTGTTCCAAAGAAATGTGAATTCAGTACGTATGCCGACCAAAGATGTGGACCCCGAAGCGTTCATGAACATTGTAAGTTTGGGTTTTCCATTATGTTTTAGGGGGGATAGAGTGCCTTACATGTTAATGTTCACATCTGTGTATTATCTGCATTATGCGCTATATTTATACATGGTGGTGATTTTTGCTAACAGAGGAATCATAAATTAGCATATTGTACTGTAAAGTGCTAAACTGCTAAACTGAAAAAAAAAAAAATTAAAAAAAATAAACTGCTAAACTGGGTGTGAGTAGACTGGGTTCTCTTCAAACAAATTCAATAAACTTGGGTGGATGACTTAGTCCTTTTGGTCTTAAAACACAATTTGACTTTCCCTTGAATTCTTAGATTCATTCTATGAGCAGAGAAATCGTTGCAGTATCTTAGGCCAAGCCCAGACCCTCCATTATTTTCATTTTGTCTGTGTTTTAAATTCTTTTTCTACTTTCATTAGTACTAAATGAGCATTGGCAACTGTAATACTGTATTATAAAAGTATTATCCCTCACTTCTTACTATTAGGGCACCCACTTCTGGTTGCATCCTTCACCCTTCAAAACCTGCACACCAGGTTTTGGAATCAGTGTTCTGGTCCGGAAATAACTCCATTGTTATCCTGTTGACAGACAATAAATAAACGAACCCTAATGATTGCTAGAGAAGGCCTCCTGTGAGTAAAATTCATAAATGATGTGGTATCCCAAATGATTTTTTTTTGCCTACTTTCAAATTCTTAGTTGAGTTTTAACAAAGTCTGCCATATGATAACTTATCCCATAGAAGATATTGTAATAAAACCTGCAGAAATGCTAATTTCACTTAATCTTCACTGCCCTTCCAGTAGATATGAACATCCCTATTTTTCAAATCAAGGAACTGAGATTGAGGAAGTTAAACAATTTAAATTAGGCCACATTATCAGTAGATGGTAGAGCTATAATTTATAAGCAGGCCTTCCCAAACACATAATTGTAACCAGCATGCAGTAAACCCTCCTGGGTGAGCAGTAGAAGCTACTTCCCGGTGAGTGAGATGATTGCGTGTAGTATTCACAATCCATACATTTCTCGTAGATTGAACATGTTTAAATACAGATTTAAGACCCTTTTTACAGAAGCCTCCTTTGAATGGATTCTATAACTCTGGCAGGTCCTAGAAATCTTTTGACTCTACATGATGCCAAATATCAGGTTTCTTTTGATCATTCCAAAGATTGGCTGTCTTTTGGTGGTTTGTCCAGAGAGTTAGCAAATTGGCGTGGGTCCTTAGAAGCCATCTTCTGGCTCTGAGAAGGTCCCACAAAAATTCCTCTGGGTTACTGGGTGGAAGTAATCCGTTTAGCTATAGGCAAGGCGATCTCCCTGAGCCTCACCCACTGTGTGTGCACAGCACCTGCACACTGTTGGAGCTGCAGGAGCCCTAAGACTAAAGTTCTGACATTGAGCAGTTATGCATAGAGAGGCAAAGTAAAATAGGAAATTCAAATGATTGCCGGTATAAAGTAAATGAGATAGATTAATGCGGTTCAGAGTCTGAATAGGTTTGACTCTATACTGATTTACATGGCTATAATCTATCTTATATTTTGGTATAAATTTGATTTTATTTATGTATTTTCTTAGTGTTAACTGAACACCTATTAGGCCCTTAATACTGTGCTATACACTGAGGTTACAGAGAGATCTAAGAATACCAAAGCCTTTACTTCATGAAGCTTACAATCCAAGTAGGGAAGGGAGACACATTACTAATTACATGAATAATGAAATCAAAAAAGAAAACATTGCCTAACCTAAGCAATTTAGGAAAGTTTTTCTAAATAGGAAGCTGCAGAGATCTAAAGTATTCTCACTGCTCTTGCCCATTGCCATCATCTAGAGAAGTAGGGAATTATTTCTAAGAGCTGCTACTTTAAAAGGAATAAAAAAGGAGAAAGTCAGGTACCAAATGCCCACTGTAGTATATAAGGCAAACGGGCATCATAGTTAAGAGAAAGAGCCTACAGTCCCATTGCTTGAGTTTTAATCCTGGCCCTAACACTAAAACACAAACTAGCTATATGATTTTAAGAAGTTTATTTAACCTAGTCCTATTTTTCAGTTTATTCACTTGTAAATTAGGTATGCCAATGATTTATACTCCATGGAATTATTGCAAGAAATGTAAAAAGATCACATATGTATAATACTAACTGAATTACCTGGCATATAGTAGATACTAAATGAGCATTGGCAACTATAGTAATTAAACATCACTCCCACCCTTATCTCCTATTTATCTTTCAGATTTCAGGTTAAAACCATTTTTTTCCCCAGTCTGTGGTTTTAAAGATGAAAAGAAACTGAGGAAATGCATGGCCCAGGTGTTCTCATAAGACAAGTGCCTCACTGACTGCATTAGAATTATCTGATCCCTAACCCAAAGCCAGCCCGGGAACCTGCATGGTTAAGTGCCCCAGATGATTCTGATGCACACCCAGGTTTTGGAATCAGTGTTCTGGTCCAGAAAGAACTGCAGAGCACTGGCCAATATTTCTGAGATAACATGATTAGCTAAAGTAAAGGAGTTTTATGTTTATGCCTTCCAGCATCAAGAAATCAACTTTTTACTCTGCGGTAAGTGAGAATATGGCCTTACAGAACCGAACTCAAAAGAAATTGTGCTTTTTCTGTAGAGTGAAATCATCCAACATCAAGGCTATCCCTGTGCGGAGTATGAAGTCACAACAGAAGATGGGTATATCCTTTCTGTTAACAGAATTCCTCAAGGCCTAGTGCAACCTAAGAAGACAGGTATGGTTTACCCTATGTCACCCCAGCATGGCAGTGTTCCCTACAGTAATGATTCCCTTGTAATATGTGTGTAAAAGGGAGTCCGGGTTATTGGTACCAGCCAGGGCCATTGTTTAGGCCAAAATATGACTTTAGTTTCCCCATAATCTCCATCACCACCACCCCATCTCCGATTATCCCAAATAAACATAGTGCATATGTCCAGCATGTTCTCAGCTCAGTGCCTTTGAATTTACAGTTCTCCCTGTGGAACCCTATTTCATCAGATATCGGTAGTTTGCACTGGCCCTTCTTTCAGACCCTGGTCACCTGACCACCCTAGTCAATATAGCAATCTCTTGCCACCGATTGAGGGCTAACCCCTTGTCCTGCTTAAATTTTCTTATAGCACTTAACACCGCCGGATATGCAGATATTTGCTTATTTATCTATCTCCCCCCAACCAGAATATAAACTCATCGGGAGCAGGAACTTTATTTTGTTTAAGACTATCACCAGTGCCTAAAAGAATGCTAACCACATTGTAGATGCCAATAAGTATCTATGGAATGAATAAGTTGATATATAAATAAATGAATAACCTGGAGACACAGATAACTTTTCCCTAACCCCACAAATCCTTGAGGGTAAGCAAGGCACGGCTGTGCCAAGCCATCAAGTGCCTGTGGCAGTTCCTAAGCTCAGGGGAGACACCTGCAGCTCCTATTCATGGCAACTTGTTTTCTTGCCTCGTGTTCATTTACATTGTTCTCTCATGGCCCAAGGAAGAGCTTGGTGTTCAAAGTATCAGCCTTTGTGGTCCAGTTGGTGCAGAATACTCCCCTCTAGTGGCTGATGTTGTTCCTGCAGCTTCCATTGGCCTCTAAAAGGAGGAAATCTCCCTGCCTTAAAGGAAAGCAAGATTTCTCAACATCTCTTCAAAAAGAGGGCCAATGAAATTCATACTGAAAACAACCGAAAGGTGTCCATAAGCTTGTGACAAAAGCCTTTTAAACACCTTCCTTCATTGTTGGCTTCAAATATTTACATCAAAAAAGAAAATAGGCTGGGCCATCCTAAAAAAGTGATAGCTTTTTAAAGAGTAGTTCTTATGCACTCGCCTATTGGCTATAATTTAAATGAAAATTCATGACTCCAGGGAATGATTGAAATGATGCCGATCATTTATAAGTCAGTTCTCTCACTAGATGAACCACGAGTACAAACTTCTGCCAGGTAGGGCCAACCTGGCCCCAGCCTTGGGAAATGTCCTAAAGATTTCAAAGGACAGCATTGATCCTCCTTGGTTTAATTTCATCATATTGAGGTCACCTCCTTGAGGGCTAGAGGATGAGCTCAATGACCAGACATAAAAGGAAAACTTAAAAGAACTCAGTTTCATTCTCCTGGTCCTGTACTGGGCCCTCATGTTCTTTCCCCAGAGGAATAAAATGAGGCAAATGGAATTCATAAAGTTTGTTGTAAAAGGCCTCTGTCTATAGAGAGACTGCACTTGGAATCAGTTAAATAATAACAGGATCTACCATCTGATGAGGTGAGGTGGCATGCTGACTGCTCAATGCACAGTATCTCAATGAACCCTCAGCACAGTGAGGTAGGCGTTGTATTGTTGTTATGTTAACTAGGACACTGAACCTCTGAGAATAACTGCCTTTGAAAAGTATAGCACTCATAACAACAGCAGCAAAGCTTCTCTTGTCTTCCTCTAAAACAGGTACTATGGTGTGGATATTACACTCACAATCTGATCTAATTCTTATAAGCCCCATCAAGAGCATGGTGTTTGCCCTTTAAAGATGCAACATTTGATTATCTTTCAGTATAACTTTCTAATGTAAAAAATAATGTTTATCTTAATTTATTTAACGTGTTAGGATTCTAATGCATTGATCCTTTATCTCCTACTGATATTCTTATAAATTGTATTTTAATATAATTTCAAATTTACAGAAAGTTTTCAAAAATTGTACAAGGAACTACCATATACCCTTTACCCTGATTTACCAATTGTGAATTACATTTTGCCACTACGTACTTCCATTCTATCAAATATCTTTGACATTAAATTTGAGACATCATGCCTATTACTCCCTGAATATTTCTTAATATTGGGGGAGGGAAAAATAACTTTTTCTCCTACTCATTTTCGGTTCTCTTAGCCTAATGGAAATTTTTCTCTTGTTCATCAGTCTTCCATTAGGCTAATAGAACCGAAAATGAGTAGGAGAAAAAGTTATTTTTCCCTCCCCCAATATTAAGAAATATTTAGGGAGTAATAGGAAGTTTATTAGCAGGGGTATCCCACATACGTATGGGAGCACTCAGAGATGAGTAACTCAAAAGGGTGCTTAGATTTTTGTGGTCTATATACCTAACTCAGTAGGGAAAAGGGAGAGGGATAAAGAGCACTTGTGGAAAAGCAAATGACTTTTTGGAAAGCTAAATGGCCCTTGGGAAAATAGATGGCAGATAAGATAGCATACGATAATGTTTGTCCAGTTCTAGTGCTAACTTCTCCTTTCCTAAAAAGAGAAGACTAGAGTTGCTTCAGGGCAGGGAATTTATGACAATTGAGTTCTTTTGAGAGCCTCTGTTTTTAGGCAGACAAGGAATTTCAATAACTCAAATGCCTTCAGCACAAAATAATCCCTATTCCAAAGTGGCATATTTGGAGGGAGTAAGGAAAATATCCTGATCCCCTTCACTCATGCATTTATTAAAATGAGGAAACTAACACTGATTGATATTAGTATCTAATCCATAGTCCATGTTCAAATTTTGTCAATTGTGCCAAAGTCATTTCTATCCTCCCCTCCCCCAACCCAGTATCATCCACTTTATTTGGTTGTCTATTTGTCTCCTTTCTAAGCTGAAAAAATTCCTCAGGTTTTCTTTGGTATTTTTGACCTTGACATTTTTGAAGAGTTTTGAACAGCTATTTTATACAATGTTCTTCAATTTGGCTTGTCTGATATATCTTCATAATGAGATTCAGGTTATACATTTTGGCAGAAATACCACAGAAATGAAGTTGTGTCTGTCCCACTGCATCAGAATATCAAGCACATGATAATGGCTTATTCCTATATTGACAATATTAGCTTAAATTTTTTTGTCTTTCCCTGGTTTTATTGAGCTTCTTCCCCTCATTTCTGTGCTCTCTCTCTCTTCAAACAGAAATTTGTAGATTTACTGTGGACACCTGTGGGTTCTCACGGCTGGCACCAAGTGGTCTTTTCTCACTCAAAACAGATTTCTCTAAGCTGTAAAGAAAGATTATATTAAAAATGAAAACACAGGCTTTATTTACACACTCTAAGAAAATAGAGGGTTGGCTGTAGCCCTGAGAAAAAGCAGAATCCACACTTTTTATTGCTTAATTGAAATGTGAAGTCAGTGTTTTATATATATATATATCCTAGATAATAAAAGCCTAATATGCTAAGTGTCCGGTCGACCAGTCATCCGTTCAACCAATCAAAGCATAATATGCTAATGATATGCTAAGGCTGCTCAACTGCTCACTATGACGTGCACTGACCACCAGAGGGCAGACAGTCGACCGGTCAACCAGGTGCTATGATGTGCAATGACCACCACGGGGCAGATGCTCCAACTGGTAGATTAGCTTGGTGCTGGGGTCCAGCTGATCGGGACTGAGTGAGACGGGCCAGACACACCCTGGAGCCCTCCCACGGTCCCTCCACAGCTGGCCAACCTCCTGCATCCTTCCTCAGCCCCGATCATGCACCAGTGGTGTCCCTCAGCATGACCTGTGCCCTCTCACAATCCAGGACCCCTCAGGGGATGTTGGAGAGCTGGTTTCAGCCCAATCCCGCAGGCCAGGCCGAGAGACCCCACGGGTGCACTAATTCGTGCAGGAGTGGGGTTCCTTGGCCTGGCTGGCCATTGGAGCCAATTGGGGCCGCCGTGCCCAGTCCCTATCGGGGCAATCGGGTCAGCTGTCCAGGGAGGAGAGAGGCCGATGGGGGACAGTGGTGGGGAGGGACCGATGGGGGCTGGCTGGTGGAGGGGAGGGAGGGACCACAGGAGGTTGGCTGGCGCAGGAGGTTGGCTGTGGGAGTTCACTGACCACCAGGGGGCAGCTCCTGCATTGAGCATCTGCCCCCTGGTGGTCAGTGTGCATCATAGCGACTGGTCGTTCCGGTTGTTCCAGCGTTCTGGTTGCTTAGGCTTTTATATATATACTAGAGGCCCGGTGCACAAAATTTGTGCACAGATAGTGTCCGTAGGCCTGGCCAGCGATCAGGGCCGATCTGCGGGGCAACCAGCGGGGTGATCAGGGGGCCCCTGCTAGCACCCACCTTGGCTGGCCTGAGGCCTGCGGGCTGGGGGCAGCTCCTGCATTGAGCATCTGCTCCCTGGTGGTCAGTGTGTGTCATAGCAACCAGTCGTTACACCGGTCCTTCCACCGTTTGGTCAATTTGCATATTAGGCTTTTATTACATAGGAGATATATATCACATCTTTATCCATATTTTCTTTATCCATTCATCATTCGACAGACATTTAAGTTGTTTCCATATGTTAGCTATTGTAAATAGTGCTGCAATGAACATGGGAGTCTATATACCTTTTCAAAATACTAATTTTGTTTGCCTTGGATATATATCTAGAAGTGGGATGGCTGGATCATATGGTAGTTCCATTTTTTATTTTTTTTGAGCAGCCTCCATATTGTTTTTCCTAATGGATGTACCAATTTACTTTCCCACTCATAGTGTAAAAAGATTCATTTTTCTCCACATACTCACTAACATTGGTTATCCCTTCTTTTTGATAAAAGCCAAGTGTGAGGTGCTATCTCATAGTGGTTTTGATTTTAATTTTCCTGATGATTAGTGATATTAAGATCCTTTTCTTGTACCAATTGGCCATTTGTATGTCTTTGGTAAAATGTTCATTCAGAACCTTTGCCCATTTTGAAAATGAATTTTGCTATTGAGTTGTATGATTCCTTATACTTTTTGGATATTAATCCCTTATCAGACACATGGTTTGTAAACATTTTCTTCTGTTTCATGGGTTGCTTTTTCATTCTGTTGATTGTTTCATTTGCTGTGAGAAACTTTTTAGTTTGATGTAGTGGCAATTGCTTATTTTTGCTTCTGTTGCCTGTGCTTTAGAGTTATATCCCCAAAAATATTGCCAAGACCAATGTCAAGGTGCTTTTCCCTATGTTTTTTCTAGGTGTCAGGTCTTACATTTCAGTCTTTAATTCATTTTGAGTTAATGTTTTTGAGTAGTATAAGTTAAGTGTTCAGTTCTATTTGGTGATATTAGCTTTGATCACTTTCTTAAGATGGTGTCTGCCAAATTTGTCTATTATAGAGTTAGCATTCTTCCCTTTGTAATTAATAAATATTTGTGAGGAGATACTTTCAGGATATGTAAATATCCTGTATCTCTTCAAACTTTATTCACTAATTTTAGCATCCATTGATGATTTGATAATGCCATCAATCTTTCTATATTTATTTAAATTATATTGTAAATAAGAGCTTTTACTTCTCCCCTAATTCTTTATTCATTTCATTGATATCAATATTGAGTCATGCATTCTCAATTTATATAATAGGATATAATTTATTACAATCATTTATTTTGATGCTCAAATTTTCCCATATTTAAACATTGGGAGATCCTTCACGCTGGCTTGTGGGTTTTTCAGACATGAAGCACCCATAATCATTAAACCATTACATATATAGAATAAGCATATATTTGTATATATTAATATTAGAATATAAATAATTATAAATAACATATACTTACATACAGTATAATATTAATACATTAGGATATATAATATATTTATATATGTGTATATTTATATGTGTGTATAATTAATATAATAATATCAATAATTATATCTAGTATTTATATAATTATTTTATTATAACATTAATATATACATATGTAATTATATATAATTATACATTTGTTATATTATACATTACATAGTATAGTAACATATTATAATGTATGCATAGTATAAATACATAACAATGTAATTTTTTATTCTTATTAATTTATAATCGCTATGATTATTATATATAATTATCTTAATCATTATATTATACCAGCTCCTGGAGCACTTCAGTATCCTCTCAGGTGCCCAGACAAGTCTAGTAATAATAACTTTACAAAAACAACAATGGGAAAGCATTGGCCTGCGGATCGAAGGGTCCCAGGTTCAATTCCAGTCAAGGGCACATACCTCGTTGCAGTCTCCTCTCTGGCCCAGGCCCTGGTCGGGGCTCATGCAGGAGGCAACCAATCAATGTGGTTCTCTCACATCAATATTTCTCTCTGTGTTTCCCTCTCTCTTCCACTCTCTAAAAATCAATGGAAAAATATCCTTGGGTGAGGATTAAAAACAAACAAAACAACAGTGGGAGATGCGCTTTGATTCTTTCTCTGTGCCATGCATTGTGCCATCTGCTCCTTGTGCCCGATTTCATTTCATCATAACAAAAATTCTACTTTTCTGATGAGGAAATCAAGACACATAAAGGTTAAGTAACTGACCAAGATAATCAAGCCAGCAAGCAGCTGAATCAACAATTAAACACAGGTTTGTCTAACTTGAAAGCCTTTGCACAGTAGGGGATAACCAAAAGGGTAGAGAACATTTCCCCCGGATGAAATTCTCTTTTTTTGTAGGTTCCAGGCCTGTGGTGTTACTGCAGCATGGCCTGCTTGGCGATGCCAGCAACTGGATTTCCAACCTGCCCAACAACAGCCTGGGCTTCATCCTGGCCGATGCTGGTTTCGACGTGTGGCTGGGGAACAGCAGGGGAAACACCTGGTCCCGGAAACACAAGACCCTCTCCATAGACCAGGATGAGTTCTGGGCCTTCAGGTATATGAGAGTCTCGAGAGGAGGTGGATGTGGATGTCTTTAGAAGAACTGGGTAAAAAAATCACAACTTCTAGCATTTGGAAAATTTACTTTGGTTGGCTCATCCATACCCTAATAGGATAGCCCTCAATTGTCTTAATTGACTAGTGATTCTTTTGGGAAAGTAGTGGGGAAAATTACGTTCCTTAAGAAGATTGGGTCTGGTGAATGTGGTGAGAATGGTGGGTGGTGTCAGGTGATCGAGACTGGAATGAGAGAAGTGCATGTCCATTTCCTTATAGATGGATGTCCTGGGACTAACTCTTCTGTGAGTTATGACAAGGACTGGTACCCCCAGGAGGAGATGAGATCAGACATTAAAGATATAAGGAAACTATTAAGCCTCCGGGACTATCAAGTCAACTAACACATTTCTTACAAAAGACTTTTAGTATTTGTATTTAAATTACCTATGGACATTCAACCTGCTTTTTATCTATTTCATCAGAGAAGGGACCCATAGCATCTTTAATACTTTTCATATAAGTGAATCTGCATGACCATCTGCTATTCTACTAACAGAACAACAGGACACCTCTACTAGGGAGGCAGGTCTTGTGCCCAGTAAATATTCATTGAAGATGATTATTGCTCTGTAACATCTGTAGAAAATAGCAGTTTGCTGACAACCTGTGATTTCTGAGGCACCCAGGCATCACAGGTTTGAAACAAGTCCAAACTGAGTGTTGTGAGGGACACAGTAACCGTCTTGGGTCTGACAACTCAAGGGTTTGTTTATAAACTCCGGGGGCTGTTTTTGTTTGTTTCTGATTATAACTTTTCATATAACTTTGTCTTTTCCTCTTGTAGTTATGATGAGATGGCTAGGTTTGACCTTCCTGCAGTCATAAACTTTATTTTGCAGAAAACGGGCCAGGAAAAGATCTATTATGTCGGCTATTCACAGGGCACCACTATGGGTAGGTTCAAAGGAAACCAGGTTTGTATACTCAGAGGAAATGTGAGCATATGCTGTACAGCTGTGCCTGGGATCAGTCTTCTCACACTTCACTCATCTGGCCTTATTCTCTTCAGCGACTCTAAGAGCAACAGGAAATGGGTATGAAATTGAGGGAGGCTTCAGGTAGAGTAGGTAGAGCAAAGGCTTTGGAGTCAGACAAATATGTATTCAAATGTTGGCTCTACCACCTCTTAGGTAAATGTCACTGAGCAAATGATTTAATCCCTCTGGCCTCAGTTTCCTTATCTATAAAATGGGGATAATAGCTCCCTCTTAGGGGTGTTAGAGGTGATGGACTGTTCAATATGACTGATATAAGCTCTGTGAAGCAAGGCTGTGAGAGCAGTTCCTGGCCCATAGTATGCACTCAGTAAATGCATTGAACGAATGAAACATAATCTTCAGTGTCTGGCACATAACAGACAATCAATAGACACTAAGCACTGTCATCATACTATACAAAGAACTGCTGCAGGGAGTTTACTCAAGTCTTTCTCTCTCTCTCTTTTTTTTCCTCTTCTCTGCAATTCCGTGCTAATGTCCTTTTGGTTTTGATGACTTTGTGAGAAACCGAAACTCATGGCCCCAGAGGATACATATCACCTACTTGGGGAGATGGGAGTGGAGGCTGGCTATCCTGACCCTTTATTAGACCAAAGTCAACAGGAAAAAAATGTGCTTGGCCTTGGTTACAATGAAGGAAGATCAGCAGAGGCAGAGTGTGTGCCATCAGAAGGCTCTCGAGAGGGGGCTGAGAAGGGCTCTGAGCCAAAGGCACTCCAGAGGCAGCCAGGCATCACCCGTGCAAGGGATTCTGAGAGAGGTGAACACTCAGTGGAAACTCAGGGCACACATGCCATTGGTTCATTTTAACTGACACTCCAGTGAATAAAAAGAGACTGACTTTCACATTGTACTTTCTGGATTTTTCAACATTAACTGATCCTAAGGATGCCGTGTCTCACCATGTACTTCACAGAAAGGTAGAATGTTATGCCTGCTCCTACTCTCATTTCCAGAGGTCTTAAAACATTTTCCCTATAGTAAACTGTTCAACTTGACTTGAAGACAAAGGTGCTAATGATGACGTTAAATGTTACTCTGAGAAGAAGGAAGTGGCCAAACAAGCCTAGGATGATTCTATTAGTCAACCGCGGAGCTATTAATGCGGAAAACTCGAACTTGCTTTACATAAAGAGAGGAATTGATGGGAGAAGTTATCTAAAGTTCCCAAATCTTGACATTTGAGAATGAAGTCCATATAGTCAGAATTAAGCTGGAATATAGGAATGTATTCGAAAGTATTTTCAACCCAGTCCTACTGATGGTACAGTTGGGAGAGCCAGAGCTAATACCAAGTCACTCTTCTGCCTGCCTTTGCACGTGGCTGGCAAAACAAATCATGTAAAGAGAAAAGAAGGGAAGGAACCAGTCTTTCTTAATACTCACTCACCTCCTGGGAACCAGACAGAAGTCATGTGATTTTATGTTGTTTTTTCTACCCAACCTCCTTCCCCACAGCCTGCAAGCATCAACCGAGACAGAGCCTGTGCATGCTCTATTGAAATAGACACACAGTATTTCCAATATAGTGACCATGGCCTGAATTTATATAACAGCCTTTTTCTCCCAAAAGTTCCACAGAGATTAGCCCTGTACAGTGGTAATTTGGGAAATTTGGCTCTATTTTATAGGTATAGAAACTGAGGCACAGACTGACTTAACTAGTGTTCCATACCAAGTCAATGGCAAAAATAAGAGTTGGAATCCAGTTCCCTAGACAGTCTACTACATTACTTTATAATTTGGGTTCCAGAACAATTAGGGAATCACAAAAACCCCAGCAAAACCTTGCTATACCCATTATGGTATTTTACAGAACATGCTTGTTATCAATAAACAAGGAAGTTTTTCTTATTTTTTTTCACTGTAGAGATTTGAATTAAATGAAGTAAGAACCATGAACATCATAAGCAAAGTGTCAAGAATATAGTTACCCCTGTCTCTCTCTCACAAAGTCCACATTATTATACTGAATAATTAAATTCACCAATTCAATGAGATCCTACTACTGGATATCAAATAAGCTAGATGTCAGAAGGAACACGAAGGCGTTTTTCCTGCTGTCATTTTCCCCCCTCAATGAACTTATAATTTCATGGGCGAGTTAAGACACAATCACAAGTAATTACTGAAATATCTTGACAAAAGTAAGTAAGCATTTTATGAGTTCGAGGATATTCCGTATCCATGCTGACATATTCCTTCTCTTGCAGGCTTTATTGCATTTTCCACCATGCCAGAGCTGGCTCAGAAAATAAAACTGTATTTTGCTTTAGCACCCATAGCCACCATTAAACATGCGAGAAGCCCTGGGACCAAATTTTTGTTGCTGCCAGATATGATGATCAAGGTACGTGACTCCTCAGAAAATTTCTTGTCTATGTAGAAGAGTCTTCCCACCTGATAAGGTAAGATTTACACTTTTCAATTAGACGCACTTATTTTTTACTATGATGTAATGACTACTCTTTTGTTTCCTATTTTTACAGGGATTGTTTGGCAGGAAAGAATTCCTGTACCAGACCAGATTCCTCCGCCAGTTTTATATTTACCTTTGTGGTCAGATGATTATTGATCAGATTTGCAGCAGCATCATTTTACTTCTGGGAGGCTTTAACACACAAAACATGAACATGGTAAGTGAGAACCTAGTACATTCTCAGTTTCCCAAAGCAAAGCTAGAAGTTATTGCCAGTAAAGACTTAGAGAAATGTAATCTTAGTAATCCAGTTTTCTCCAAATACACTAATATGTGGGACATGCTTTAACATGGGTTGAGGTCAGGTTAACAGAAGGACATTGCTAGACATAAACTTCACAGATTATAGATGGAAGTGATACGAAAGCAGCTTTATGCATTGAATTAGCAGATGAAAAATAGTGATTAGAACCCAGTAGTCAAAAGAGAGAATCGCCATGCAGCATCTACCTCTTCTTTTCTACTTGGGTCCTTCTGGTCCTTTGATAAGATGTCTGGGAGTTCCAATTTGGCTTAGGTAAAGCTACGAGTAGGAAGGTGGCACAGTGTGGGTTCCCAAGAAGCATACTCTGAGATAGAGATTAGTAGGTAGAGTGATTTTGGGTTATGTGCTTGGAATAACACCTAGAGAAGGGAGTGAAACAGGATTGGGTAGATGGAAGAAAAAATTTTTTTAAAAAAAAGCTGTGATATCCCCTTAATGCAGCGGTTCTCAACCTGTGGGTCGCGACCCCTTTGGCGGTCGAACAACCTTTCACGGGGGTCGCCTAAGACCATCCTGCATATCAGATATTTACATTACGATTCATAACAGTAGCAACATTACAGTTCTGAAGTAGCAACGAAAATAATTTTATGATTGGGTCACAACATGAGGAACTGTATTTAAAGGGCCAGAAGGTTGAGAACCACTGCCTTAATGGGAACCTCCAATGATCCTACAGGGATTTGTGAAGATGGGATGACCCTTCAGAGCTCTCCCATGTGCGGTGAGAGGGCTGAGTGTTTATACCCCCATATCAGCCAGTCATTTAATGCAGATGATACCAATGGGTGATGCATTGGGCAATACAGCTCTCTGCACCTGGGACAACCCCCCAAGGAGGCCCCACAGTAGCGGGCTACCAGCTGGCAGCTGGAAGAACACATCTTTAATTCCTGAAGTCTTTTTATTCTTTGTTTAAAATAATACGATTAATAGCTACCATTTAATAAACATTTATTATGTGCCAGGCTAACAATCCTATGAGACAGATATTATCAATTTCCCACTATGCAGATTAGTGTCCTGAGATTTAGTGGATTAAATTATTCCCATATCCACCTAAAAATTAAATGGCAGAGCTAGGATTTGAATATAGGCTTGTTCTAGAGTCTTCATCCTTAATTACTGTAGTAAGATTAAAAAAAAAAATGAGTTCAGATATCTACCGAGAAGCCATCCTCGGATGAAAAATATAGGTGCTCAGGAATACATTTAGTGGCATGTTTATTTATGTGCATATTACTGTTTCATAGATAAGGGCTGATAATTTAATGATGGTCCCATTTCTTAGTCTGACACCTGGAGATTTGATCTGGACAAAGTGCATATCTCATGAGTTTTTTCATGTCCCACAAACCACTCATGCTTTGTTACAGAGCCGAGCAAATGTGTACGTCGCTCATTCTCCTGCTGGGACATCTGTGCAAAATATTCTGCACTGGAGCCAGGTAGGAATGATGTTGAATTTGTCCTTTTCCCTAAGTAAGTATCTGTGGGAAAGAGTGCCCTTTTGACAAACCAGGGGTTATTTTATATTTCTTATGAGATGAAATGTAATCTAGAACATTGAAGCTTTTCAGGAGATGGGAGGGAAGGATTGGGCCACGGATGTCTTTAGTGGACCTTAAAACTGTGAGGGCAGATGGTCCCACTGAGATCTTTCTCTGTCTCTCACCACCTCAAAATGAGGCTGGAGAAGATAATTGGAGGCTCCTCCAGCAGCCCGGTCAAGTAGTAACAAAACTGGAAGGCAGGACCAACCACCCAAAGAGGCCTCACAGGAGGGAAAGACTAACCTGCAACACAGGAGGGCAAGTCTTGATCACCAGTCACATGAACTAAAGAAGACAGAGCTGGAGTAAGACATTCATAATGGATTCAAGGATAATGTGAATGCGAATTATCCTTTTACCAGTGAAGAAGCACTGAACCTACTAATATTGCTCATTGTAGATGATACAATGGAGTGACCCTGATTGATTGTGGAAATAAGGATGGATATAAGGACAGAGCTAGAGCATAACTAACCTTGGATTCTCATGTATTAAAAATACCACTTTGTTTTTAAAAGGGGGGGGGGCTGTTAACTCAAGCAAAGAGTTTTATGAATAGTGATGGCATCTATATATCATAAATATTGGCCCTATCTGCTTTCTGTTTTTGTAGCAACTTAGAGTCTAGTGAAATTGTTCTTGTACAGTTGTTATATTTGAGAGAGAGAGAGAGAGAGGAGAGAGAGAGAGAGAGAGAGAGAGAGAGAGAGAGAGAAGAGAAATATTTTGTAATTAAAACTAAAGAATTCTGAATTGTATTAAGTGTCGTCACCTTCTCACAGTCACCAGGGAGAGCTTTCCCCTGTAGCCTACAGAGTTGTCAGATACCACCTATGTATGGGGATGCACCCCCTGGAGTTGTATGACATGGTGACCAAGTATGTCTGCAGTACATGCATTTTCTCCCGAAAGGGTCTTCCTCTTGCCTTTGTACTTCCCTGAAGATTATCCTAAAGCTGAACAGAAGCCGCGGTCTCTGCTCTCTGCTTCCCCCACAACTGCAGACTGGGGAGCACATTTCCACCCCTCCTCCCACTCTTTTCCAGCGATACATTTGAACGCCATGTACATTTTTGTTTCCTTTTAGGCAGCGAATTCTGGGGAACTCCGGGCTTTTGACTGGGGGAGCGAGACTAAAAATCTGGAGAAAGGCAATCAGGTAAGAAAACCAATACCACCTTTTTGAAGTGCACGACCGGGTAGGTCTAATGGCAGTTTACTGTAGAGATAGAAATAAAATATGAGTATGCGAGTGGAAAATAATAGTCGGGGTTTGACTCCATTTGAAAATGGGGACGTTCACAGCGTGGTCACAAGGCCTGCTGCCTTCACAATGGAGTAGGAGACCTTCTTTGAGAGGCTGCTTCCATGAAGGGGGCCCTGGGCTTCGTAGGAGCGAGGTGGAGTGGGTTTAGAGAAGGGAAGAATGTGGTCTCTGGTGGCTACTACTACAAGAAGCCTTTCTTGATAAGAAACCCAGAAATCACCAATGAAGAAGGCAGGAGTGAGGTTGTTTGTATAGTACAATACAAAGACCATTCATCTGTGGTTGCCAGAGACAGGGGTGAGGGGTTGGGTGGGAAATGAGTGAAAGGGATCAAAAGGTACAAACTTCAGTTATAATATAAATAAGTCAGAAGGTATAATGTACAGCATGGTGACTCTAGATGATAATACTGTGTTGTGTATTTGAAAGTTGCTGAGAGTCGATCTTAAAAATTCTTATTAGAAGCAAAAAAATTTGTAACTATGTGTTGTGATGGATGTTAACTAAACTTACTGTGATAACCATTTCACAATATAATACAATCTTATAACTCAATTTAAAAGCCTTGCTACATAAAGAAAAAGAGTGTTAATTGGTGAATGAGGATTACTGGGTTAGTCTTGCCTTTACACTATAAACTTGTGTGATCATGGCTAGGCCACTTTGATTCTTCAGACCTCAGGTTTTTTATCTTTAAACATTGGACTAGATCAGTGATGGCGAACCTTTTGAGCTCGGCGTGTCAGCATTTTGAAAACCCTAACTTAACTCTGGTGCCGTGTCACATATAGACATTTTTTGATATTTGCAACCATAGTAAAACAAAGATTTATATTTTTGATATTTATTTTATATATTTAAATGCCATTTAACAAAGAAAAATCAACCAAAAAAGTGAGTTCGCGTGTCACCTCTGACATGCGTGTCATAGGTTCACACATATAATGATTCTGTAATTTGCAAGTAAAAACATTTTTTTCTATTTTAAAAATATTTTTATTGATTTCAGAGATAGAGAGAGAGAGAGAGATGATGAGAGAGAATCATTGATTGGCTACCTCCTGCACATCCCACACTGGGGATTGAGACCATAACCCCGGGCATGTGCCCTGACCAGGAATCGAACGGTGACTTCCTGGTTCATAGGTTGACGTTCAACCACTGAGCCAAGCCAGCCAGGCAGTAAAAAATATGTTTAAAATGCTATCACATTATCTAAGAAATGTGTAGTCAATGCTGTAGAATAAAATTAAAAACAAATGTTGTGTAGAATCAGAAGTAGACTTTATACTCTTCTGAGCATAAAATCTTCACTGAAGATTAGTAGTAGCTTGTGTATGAATATAAACAAACATTGACCCTACAAATTTAAAGCTGGAGGGAGCTGAATAGATACAGGCAAATCTTTGAGTACCATAGCATATGTAATATCCATTTCTGTACATCAATCTAGATATAAAAGGCTAGGAAATTGGACAGACTGTGCAATGCCCATGAATAGCAAACTCTATGAAAGGTCTGCTCCTTTTTTTTATTTTAGCTCCATCTTCACCGTTTCCTAAAGCATGTCTTTAGAGGAAGCATTCCAGTTCCAAAGTAGTTTTAAGTTTTCACATTTAATGTCATGAGTTCTAGGAAAATCACTTGTGCACAGTAGGTGCCAGAAAACAGTCTGATGGTGGGAAGGAAGATACAACACGCACACACAAAGGTGTCTCAGAATCACAGAACCTTAGCACTGGACCTGAATTCAATTCAGTCTTCTCACCTGTAATATGATTTTAAAACATATATTACTGGCTCCATAGAATATTCCAACCTTTCATATCTAAGTTAGGCTATAAAAGGTGTTTCTGATGATCAAATTCTGATGTTTGTGTTTGGGAAGTTTTCCCATACCAGCAAGCAATTCCCTGAACACCAGCAAGATGTCCTACAGTTCTACCCAGTGCTGGGATAGCATCAGATGCTATGGCTTAAGAGCCTACAAGACTGCCTCCCTCCCACTTCCGATGCCAACCTGGACTTCTGACCAACTGGCTATAAATCAGAGGTTTCCATGACAACTCCCTCTGGCTCAATTAATTTGCTAGATTGACTTACAGAACTCAGAAAAACATTTTACTTACTAGATCATCCAGTTGGAAAAGATGCATAGGGCAAGGTATACGGGAAGGGGCACAGAGCTTCTATGCCCTCTCCAAGCGCACAGTTCTCCCCACATTTCCACTTGTTGACCAAGCTGGAAACTTTCTAAACCCTGTCCTTGCTGAGTTTTTATGGAGGCTTCATTACATAGGTCAACCCTTTGGCGGTCAAACAACCCTTTCACAGGGGTTGCCTAAGACCATCCTGCATATCAGATATTTACATTATGATTCATAACAGTAGCAACATTACAGTTATGAAGTAGCAACGAAAATAATTTTATGGTTGGGGTCACAATATGAGGAACTGTATTTAAAGGGCCAGAAGGTTGAGAACCACTGGATTAAAACATTAGTCATTAGCGATTGAACCCAAGAGGTGTGAAACTGGAAGTCCCAGCCCTGTAGTAACATGATTGATTCCACTGGCTAAGAGCCTTCCTCTGGTTCCAAGTCCCCTCACTAACATAATGAAAGATACCTATATGGCTCTCATCCCTTAGTAAATTCCAAGGGTTTTTTGGGCCTGGGCTGTGGTGGTGACTAAAACAATAGAAATGTATTCTTTCCCAGTTCTGGAGTCAGAAATCTAAAGTCAGGGTTTGGACAGGGTTGGTTCTTTGGAGACCCAGTGAAGCTGCCCCATGCCTCATGCCTCCCTCCTAGCTTCTGGTGGTTGCCTTTAGTTCATGGTGTTCCTTGGTTTGTAGATGCATCACTCCATTCTCTCAACCTCTGCCTACATCTTCACATGGTTTTCTCCTCTCTGTCTCCTGACCTTTTCTTCAGAGAACACTTGCCATTTGAGGGCTACCCCAATCAAGTATGATGTCATCTCAGGATCCTTAACTAAGGGTTTTAGGAGCTCTGTGCCAGAAATGGGGATGAAAACCAAATATATATTTGTTATTATACATTACAGCATCGCAGGCTATAACTCCAAATGTTTAGAAAGTCACAAAATGGCACAAGGACGGCCTGGATTGGAACCTCAGCCCCAGGGTGGATTTTCCAAGTAAGAAATGGGCCCCAACATTCCTGTGGAAAGTTCTGGGTGCTGATTAACCTCAAGGGCTGAGACAGCCAATCTGATTTCGTAGCACTGCTTGAATAAGAGAAGTTCTCAAGGGTTAAGACTCCTAGAAACCCTTCTTTGGGTGATGGGGCACTAGAGCAGGGATCTAATTTATACCTTCCCTTGGTTCAAACTACCTATGTTCCAGTGCCATTGACTTCCCATGTTTTTGGAGATAGTCAAGCAGGGCCTGCTTTTTAAAATAATATTTTTTTAAATGATTTCAGAGAGGAAGGTAGAGGGGGAGAGAGATAGAAACATCAATGATGAGAGAGAATCATTGATCGGCTGCCTCCTATACGCCTCCTATTAGGGATCGAGCCCACAACCTGAGAATATGCCCTTGACAGGAATCAAACCTGGGACCCTACAGTCCATAGGCTGACACTTTATCCACTGAGTTAAACCAGCTAGGGCTGGGCCTGCTTACAGGCTTTCTATAATCATAGAAAATATCTGTGCAGCCCCAGAGCAGAGTCCTCAGTAGGTTCCCTTCTCTTGACTTTCTCTGTAGAATATCTCTAACTCTGGCCTCATGAAACATTTGTGAAGTTATCTTTTAAAGGTAAATTATGCTTAAAATATTTATTAATAGGAAGAAAAATAATTAAAAAGTGATGCTTAAAGTGCTAGGCAATTTACATGTTTTCTCATTAACCGAGTAAGTGGTTACAGATATCCCCATTTCACAGATAAAGAAACCGAGGTTCAGTAAGTTTACCTTCAAGTAGGTGCTGAAACAGAAACTCTAAATGCATATTTGCTTGGCTCCAATGCCTGTGCATTTTTTTTTCATCACAACACATATTTAGAAGGTTTATTTGGAATGTAAATTATGAGTTTGGAAGTTCAAATGTGATCTACAGCTAACAACTTTTCTTTTTCTAGCCAACTCCTGTAAGGTACAAAGTTGGAGACATGACGGTCCCTACAGCAATGTGGACTGGAGGTCAGGACTGGCTTTCAAATCCAGATGATGTGAAAACACTGCTCTCCGAAATGAACAACCTCATCTACCATAAGAACATTCCTGAATGGGCGCACATAGATTTCATCTGGGGGTTGGATGCTCCTCATCGTCTGTACAATGAAATCATATATATGATGCAAGAGGAGGAGGCCAGCCTTTCCCAGGGAATGTGCAGGCTCAGACTGTGAAACATCTGATACTGACAAGTCAGAGGGAAAACCTTGTGGACAATGGGGCTGGGGTCCATGGACAGAGGATGGATTTCAGGAATTGAAAACCTATCCTATCAGTAGAAGGGAAGAGGAGAGGGGGAGGAGGGAGGAAGTTGACTATATATTCCTTCAGGTTTCCTGTATTTGGCAATAAAACTGACATTAACTTTTTTTTTTTTAGTTAATTAGACTGCTCATTGGCTGAACATAGGTTTCATGTGCTATTATATAATCTACCATCTTGAAGGGCAGGTTTTATTCGAGAGCTAGAAATTATCAAAACATTCTCTATGTCACTCAGGTAAACTTCCTTAAAACATGTACTTATTTTTCTATAAGCCATATTTTCAGAATAAAGTAAACTGAAAAATTGGGATGAGAGAGAGGTCTTGAATCTCTGGATTATTGTTGACTTTCACAAAATAAATTAGACATTTTCGTCTTATTGCCATAGAGACATAACACTACCTCAGAAAGCCAAGCTACTTTAACAATAAATAAATAAACAAACAAACAAACAAACAAACTAAAACAAAAAAGTCAATGTACAGTGTGGATAAAATATATTTTAAGCTTCTTCAAAAGGGTCAAGTTGTATAGTTGAGTCGCAGATGTCATACTTTTGTAGAATTTTTATGAGTTTTCCAATAAATGCAGTACACACTGCATAAAGCATGTATGTGTATTTGAGTGCCTAAATTTGAGTCCAAGCTTGTTTGGGGTTGCAGAAGACCTTTTGATTAGAAATGTATGACCCAGCTTTCTGCCTCCAGAAATGAAAAGCTGGGAAAAAAACTTTGTGATGTCAGCAACATAATAAAACAAATTGTCATGTATATTATCCTTTGATCTTGACAAAGTTACTGTTAGACAGTTTACCTGCTCATTAAAAAAATCTGGTTATTTCTTTTAAAAATTGTTCGCTTTTCACACAGTTTAAAATATGACAGATATAAAGTATATGAGTAATTGTACAATTTTGCAAAACTCTGGAACCAATAGCTCAATTTAAAAAAAAATATATTTTCATTCGTTTCAGAGAGGAAGGGAGAGGGAGAGATAGAAACATCAATGATGAAAGAGAATCATTAATTAGCTGCCTCCTACTGGGGATCTAACTGCAACCCGGGCATGTGTTCTGACCAGGAATTCAACCATGATCTCCTGGTTCATAGGTTGATGCTCAACCACTGAACCACACCGAATGGGCCCCATAGCACAATTTTGAAAACTTCTGAATTGAAGGTATACTGGTGTGTGTGTCAAAGGTATACTGATGTGCGAAGTTCATGTTTTAAAAATATTCTAGAATCACCTGCTCACTCAGTGAATGGATCTTAAATAATTTATTAAGATACATTTAAGGGCTTTAGAATCCATATCTACATAGTACTACTTTTCTCACCCAATATGTGCCTTAAGGCCCTATACATAGTTCAGTAAATATGCCTGGATTTGATATTTATTAGAACTTTGTTCTCTTCAAGGATGGCAAATCTTTCATTCTTAGACATATTTGTTACCACATACTGTGTGGCTTAGTTTATATCTAAAGACATTCATGATTCAATAAATCATTAATTTCTAAAAAATACATTTCTTTTCACTCTGCCTCATTGACAAAAGAGTTGGATATTTTGATATCCTATTTCTCATCCAAAAGTCTAATCCAGATACTATCTAATAATATAGCTCTATTTCTTTTTTAATTTAAATTCTTTATTGTTTAAAGTATTACATGAGTCTCCTTTTTTCCCCATTGACCACTCTCCAGCCACCCCCACACCCCAGCACATGCCCTCACCCCCCACCCCCATCTGTGTCCATTGGTTATGCTCATATGCATGCATACAAGTCCTTTGTGACCTCTTACCTCCCACGTTCCCTCATAAGTTGGACAGTCTGTTCAATGCTTCTGTGACTCTGGTTCTGTTTTTGTTCATCAGTTTATGTTGTTCATTATATTCCACAAATGAGTGAGATCATGTGATATTTACCTTTCTCTGACTGATAGCTCTATTTTTTGTATAGAAACACTTTATCTAGATAAACTATAGTAATATTTTAAATTCTATCAATAAAAATAAAGAGAACTGGCAAGTTTAGTAGCTGCCTTGCATTCACAAGAGAATCAAAGATCTTTTTAAACAAACATCTTTTTTAAAAAATATATTTTTATTGATTTCAGAGAGAAAGGGAGAGGGAGAGAGAGATAGAAGCATCGATGATGAGAATCATTGATTGGCTGCCTTCTGCACACCCCCTACTGGGGATTGGACCAGTAACCTGGGCATGTGCCCTAACCAGGAATTACTGAGCCACGCTGGCCAGGCTAAACAATCTTGATAGTTTATAGTCTTGGTCAAAATCAAGATAGCCTTTATTTGTAAACTGATAGCAAAATGTTTAGCAGTGTGTTGGTAAACTGGTTCTCGAGAAAGAAAAAAATAAAAGGCTTGATTTTAGCATTTGCCAATTTCGGTGGTGAAAAACTGCCACCACTGACAACTGATAAATGTTTTTGCTGAAGTTGTTTTGCCAAAGGAACATCCACATGTGAACCTCTAAACCCACACACATACATACACCATTCTATACAAATATACACACTTTCGCCCCTCTCACTGCTTAAAGGGGCCTGAGAGGAACAGTGTCTCCTGGGACAGGACAGCCTCCATCAGAGCACACAACTGAGAAGAGATCACTGTCCGAGATAACACGGATCCTCTACTTCAGGAGGGACTGATTTTGAAACATCACATTTTGCCTGAAGTGGAGAATTCAACAGCTTTAGTGTTTCCCCTGGAAGGATTGGGGCCATGGTGAAGTGCATTGAGCAAAAGCATGACTACAGAGCTCTTCAAAAACATTATCCATGGCAACCGTCATCATCGCCATAAAATGGCTGCATCCAGTTGAGTGGCCCGCAGACCAATAGTCCAAGATGCAGACAGGATCCAGTCCTTTAACTGTTTCTACTTCTCCATCTGAGGCCACAGGGTTAGGATGCTTTCCTTAGCATTAATTCAATCTGGGAAAATTTTAATCTTCGTGCAATATCCAGGGAGCTCTCACCATTCTGAGGAGAAAAGAAATGATAGTTTCTTAAGAGTCCAGCCAACAGTTTAGACTGATGGACTCTCAGGCTTGGCAAAGACTTTAAATGTTATTCAGATCTAACAGTAATAGGATAACTTAATTTTTTAATAGGATGATTAATTTTGTTGTTTACATCAGAAGCAATTAACTTAATTCCACACAAGGCCAAAGTTAGAAGATCATGAGCTGGGGGAACTTCGGGCCATGGGGCCACAGTTTCTTACCTTATTTCTTACCGCGGGGTCTGCATGGGCTTGAAGGAGCAGAGGGATGAGGGTCTGGTTTTTCATTTCACAGGCATAATGTAACGCCGTGCAGCCGTACTGAAACACAAAGGACCAACACTGCAGCTCACCCATCCGACTCTACAGACCGTAGCATGAGGCTTCTTAGCAAGCTCAGCAAGCGCTCTTCATGTTTCATAGTAAACAATAAGCAAAACAGTCTGCAACCATCTATGTGCAATGGTATTTCTTGTTCTTAAAGTCTTTTCTGCCTCAATATGTACATTATTAATGTTCTATAAGCCATCAATACCTTCCTTTCTCATTTTCTGTTCAAACTAAAAAAATGCAACTTATAAAAGGCGAATGCTGAATTTCTTGGGATAATTTCTGTACGTCTGGCCAATCAGCATTGTGATCATGTGACCATCTCTTCCCTTAGAGTCTCCATGTGGGCCACTTTGCAGATATCATCCTCTATGGTTTTTTATTTTAAAAAATCCCCCAGTCTGTGGCCCTTGCTCATATTTCTACAGCTCACCTGCAAGACCAGTGCAATTTGACATAAAAATCTCCCATACTTGGTTGGTTGTAGCTTATATTATGTACTAGAGGCCCAGTGCACAAATTCGTGTATGGGTGGGGTCTGGCTGGCCCACCCTGATCAGGCTGATTGGGCCAGGTTGGGGGTGGGGGGAAGGACATGGGAGGTTGGCCAGCTGGCCCTGCCCCTGGTCAAACTCCTGGTCGAGGGGACAATTTGCATATTAGTCTTTCATTATATAGGATTATAAAATAATGGATCTACCTCGTTGGCACTAATTTAAAACACTAACTACAGATTAAAAGAAATGTATAGCTGGGACGTTTGTGTTAAAATTTTTGCCTTTCAAATCCAAACAACCATGGTTTTGGTAAGTGAAGAAATAATATCCTTGACTATCAAGATTATCAGGATTCACTTTGTATCTTTTCCCTAGAAACTCCTCTAAGATCATAGGAAATAATACTGTGATCTTATTTTTTTATTAAGTGATGGCATGAAGAATGCAAGACCTGGCTCTGAATTTTTCCATGTGAAATAAAGAAAGTCTAAAAGACATACACTGCATTACTTGGAGTTGGAACTTGGATCTTAATATACAGGTAGCTTTTTTTAATGGTGGTAAAATATGTGCATGTATGTGCATATATGTATGAGCATGCACAGGGAATGTAATTATCTAGAGATTAGAGACAGGCATAGATAACTAGAAAAATACCTTAGAGAAATTTTGTTCACGAGCAAAATTTTAAACATTTTTAATTACCTTTTACTTAATTTCAATGACATCTTAATATATTTCAAAGTTATCTAAGAAAATGATGATTCACAGTAGTAGTCCATCCAAATTAATAAAAAAATTATATTTGAAATAAAAGGAAAAGCATACATTTCATCAACTTTCTCTCTCTCTCTCACACACACACACACAGAGAGAGAGAGAGAGAGAGAGAGAGAGAGAGAGAAACAGAAAGAGCGAGAATGAGAACTACCTCCATTTAAACATGATACCAATATAACCCAAACTAAAATTATGTAAATGATTAATAGAAACAGGGATAGGGACATTTTATCTATCACAGAACATAGAATGGTAGTATATATAGATGTGTACAACAGAAATTAGGGATCATAAACAGAATATTGGTTATTTTTAAATCCACTTTTGACTGGCCTACTTTTTCAGTAAAGAACTAGAAATAAAAAATGTCATTTAATCAATATAAGCAAATAAAACTCCTTACAAATAAATTTTTGAAACACTTCTGATCATGTAAGGGAGAAAGATGAGTTCAAGGTTGCAGTTGTAGAAGGTGAAAGCAAAACCTTATATTAGGGGGAAGTTAGCTGAGGCTGCTCCTGTTGTTATCACTGCTCTTACCAACATTTGGATGTTTCCTTGACCCTTGCCCTTAGTTGTCTTTAATTCACAGGTGGGGACTCTCTTTCCTGATTGGGATCTTGGCTTCAGTAGCAGCTGCTAACGTTCATTGAGCACGTGCCATGTGTCAGGCACTCCGCTAAGTGCTTTACATGAATCAGCCCTGTAACTTATCAATATGCTCACGTTACAGAGTAGGAAACAGAAAGACGAGGAAGTTTATAACTTGCCAAAATGCACACAGGTAAAAAGTGGCAAGCCTGGGTTTACCCGAAGGCATTCTGACTCCAGCCCCTTAACTACCAAGGAAGAATTTTGTTATCAGAGCCTTCATCTTCCTTAACTCCTCACAAATGGTGGAGCAGTTTTTTTTTTAATGTTCTGTATTCAATAAAGATGTTATTCCCGCGAGTTTAGTGGCCGTATATAAACAACCTCAAGATCACCTAATTGGCAGTGAAAAAAGAAATGCAAAAGTGTCAAGGAAAATAAAGCGAGCAACTTTATATATGACAAGTACATACCTACAAATACCACTTTGGATATTATTTCACAGTGACTAAAAGTACGAACTTACACAGTCTGCAGCATTAATGTCCACGCCAGCATCAAGGAGCATTCGGACAAGAGTCTCATTCTGCTTTGTCTTGGAGACCTGTGACAAATGGCAAGTACAAGAAGTTTGTTTACAAACTTTTTCTTTGTCTTATGTCTGGATTATTTCAATTAATAGGCTTCATTTTAATCCCAATACCCCTTATGTGCCCATGTACTATTGATTGATTGATTTGGCTACCTTCCCTCTTGCTTTATTCTTTAATCACAGCATCGTATGTACGTTGGAAATGTCACTTATAGAATACAAGCCAAGAGCTTATTCTGTTACTATTCCTTTACCTCTCACTGGCCCAGCAAACCTTGATGGTCATGCTACTGATCTCCTACTCATGGACCCTTTGCTCTCACAAGTGTACTCACCATGAGGAAATATCCAATGAGCAGGACAGGCATTAGGAGGATAATGAGTAGATAATCAAAGAAGGTGAATTTTTTCTTCACGGCATAATGCAAGCAGGTTCTCTCTTTCTAAAAATTAAGAAAAAAACCTCTTCATGAATAAATATTTCACTTCAAATTTCCTGTTTTCAGATTACCCTATCAAAAATTAGTTTGTGCTTTTCGTTCTTATGGTATCTAGGCCATCTTCTTTCTGTTGAGTATATCTGATGAATAAACCGAGGTTTCCATTGATTAAAACATTGGACAGAGCACAGTCTAAAGAAGAAGCTGGGGGAGGGCCATAGAAAGAGAACAGGTGAAATGTACATTTTATAAATCAGCAAAATATGGATTTTCATACTCATTTTAGTTTTTTGGAGAAAATACATTCAGATATAAACATAAGACTAAATTCAATATGGAAATCCTAATCACCAATAGTAAACATATAGTGATTCATTTTGTGGTTTGTTAATGAACAAATCTTAACCACATGGCAATTTTTCTGTTTCTACATGCATACAGGCAGTGCTAGAAGAATGGAAATAGCTCGATTTAATTCTTCAAGTACATAAATATTATCAGGTGATAAACCTAAGTTTCTAGGGATTGTGAGGAATGTACAGCCTCAGGCCTCATAATCAACCAAGGGAGATAGAAACATGGCCACATCAGTACAATGCAGAACAGGCGGTTGTGATTGAAAATCAACCCAATCAATGAGAAGAGAGGGAAAGCCAGAGAGAAAAAGAGAGGTTAACTTCCACTTGGGGGAGGCACTGTTTTTAAATAAGACTTTTTGTTTTCCTAATATAAAAGTATGTATGTCCTCTGTAAAAGTTTTGTAAACGAGGCAGGAAGATAATAATAGAATGAATTAAAATCACCCATTACCAAACAGCCCAGAGTTAATTGTTGACAGTCTGCTGTATTTCCTTCCCATCTTTTAAAATGCATACAGGTGGATTTTTTAAAATGTAGGTTCATACAGCATCTGCAACATTTTATGTGCTTTTTTTTCAATTAACATTTAGAATATGTGCATCTTCCCGTGCCATTTAATGTTTTCAAACATGACTGTAAAGGCTGTTTGGCTTTTAATTGAATAGAACTACTCTGATTTATTTAGCTAAACCCTACCCTTGGGCATTTGAGTCTTTAACTTTTGATTTTTATAAAAATAAGACTACTTGAACATCCTCATTCACAAAGATTTGTCAACATTTCTAAATTTATCTTTAGTATAAGTTTCTAAAAATGTGATTCCTGGCATAAAAGGTATTAGTGCTTTTCATATTGTGCTATTACATTGTGCTCCAGTAAAATGATAATGATTTAAACTTTCTTCCTGACCAACACTTGATTTTCATTTCTAATCTGGGTCCATTTCACAGGCCATAATACATCTATGTCTGTATCTGTATCTGTATCTGTATCTGTATCTGTATCTATCTTTACACTTTAATTTGCTTTCCATAGAATCGATGTCTCTATTAAGCATATGAATCTAAATTACCAGCCGAGCTTTTTGTAATTTTTTAAGGCTTTTATTTGGTACTTTTGAAAATAACTCATATAGATCAAGAAACGAGAAAGCACTGGTTCAAATTGTTAATGTACAAAAATTAGCATTTGGGAGAAATGAAAAAGATTAAACACTTAAAACTCATGAAAGTATTTTAAAAATAGAAAATGCAAACCAAACACTTACTCTGATAAAATCTCTACTAATTGAAGGTATCCACTAAAGTCCTTTCCATAATATTTATAAACAAGAGGATCCCTGAAGCTGGCTCAGGTTCTGTGTGAAATGGAAATAAAGGTGCCTCCTCAGCCCTGTCCCTGAGTTGGCAAACCTCTCCCTCCCTCAGCTTCCTAATAGTAAATCTCCTGAGAGAGGATGTGACTCATTGACATCTGTCTTCACCACCCCCTCTCACCACTCCACACACCTGGTTCTTCAGCTGGGAGATCATGTCATACTCTACTAAGCTGCAGATCGGTTAGATTTAGCACAGGCATGACTTTGAAGCCAAACCAAACAAACAAAACAAAAAAAATAGTAAGCACAAACAAGCAAGTCCAGTAATGATTTCTTTTTCTGATAATGCATTATTACTCCAAATGGCTGATCTTTAAAGTGACTTAGAAGGGGCAAGTGGGGCCCTACAGGCTGTTTTCCCTCATTGAATATACATGAGTGGATATAGGGCATTCATAATTACTACAAACAATGACTTTTTATGTTTACTCAGTGGACGTTAAAGGCTGCCTTTACTATAATGCAGACACTGATAGCTCCAGAGGCTCTCAAAGGATACAGCTATAGACACACATTCTACTCTTCCTTCACTGAAGACTCCACGTCAGCTAATATTGCATCTTCCATGCCTTTCTATGTGGCTCCCAGTAACCTCTGGCTCATGAGCTTATTTGTCTTTGGCAAATTTTTCACTAGCATTCTTCTGTTCTGTATGCAAACTATAGGATCTTCTGGAGATCAGTACATTGACATAGAAGGTAAAAACCCAACAAAACTAATGAAATATTGACCAACAGATCAATATCCCCCCCTGGCCCCCCCCCTAGAAATTTTTCCCATTACCGCTTTAATAGTGAGGAGGTGGAGCTGGGATAGAAGGAGGGGCAAGGAAAAACATGGGGAGGAGAGAGAAAAGAAAGGAAGCTCTAGCCAGACATGTGAGTGAGCGATTCTCTTCCTTTTCAGAAGTTCTAAGGACATAATTAACCACAAAATATGCCTGATGGTTGAATTTTATTTTGCTTTCTAGCCTAATAAAATATCCTCAGTATGTGTCAGTCTCTCTAAAGCAGTGGTTCCCAACGTTTCTTTGGCCATGCCCCACCTAAACATCTCTGAAATCCTGATGTCCTCTCTGTGACATATAATTCTTATTATTCAAAAAGTGAACTCCTATTCCCATGGAGGAAGCCTAAAAGACCATTAACTTGGTTTAAACAAGCTTCCAAAGAACAGGGCATCCATGAAAGAGAAAAATTAAAGAACGAGAGGACAGTTGAAGTACTGAGGCAGAAATCACTAAGAAATTGTTAAAATGATAATAATAATAACAATATGAAGTGATATGAAAAAATAGAAAATAAAGTTTCAAAACATAATAGAGAACTAAAATGCATAAATATGTCACAACATATATTTATATACTGCACATGAGGCTCCTCAAATCATAAGAAATGCAAAAAAATCACTGTTAACAACTCATTCTAGAACTGCCCCCCTTAAAAATCAAATTGCCCCCCTGTGGGGCATGTGCCCTACATTGGGAGCCACTGCTCTAAAGTAAGGTAAAAAAGAAATTGTTGGTGTCAGGAGCTATAAGCATCAGAAAATGACATTCACTGCTCCCATCCATGCTAAGAGTAAGTATCATGGTCAACTACTTTCCACTGCTGTGTCATGGCCTCACCTGGTTTGTGAGGTTCACATCAGCATTTCTCCTTAAAAGGAAGGAAACGATTCTCAGGTGCCCTCGCCTGCAGGCGCAGATCAGGGGAGTGTCTCCATTGAAGCCATCTTGAACGTTGATGTACTTGCTGTCCTCCCTCACCCACCGCCACACTTGACCAAAGTCGTTCTGATAGGCTGCCTGGCAGATAGGCTGAGGAGAGATAAACAAAAGCAGATTTTGAAATGTAAGTATAATTAAACCACAAAAATAAGGGAAAAAATCACTACCTCGTAACTTAAAATTCAAGTGTTTCCAAATCATAATATATTGCTTTGTCGATGAGATTTTTGGTCTCAGTTATGCCCAGTGTTAAATCTAGAACAAACGTTGAGTCTCTAAAGAACTTCATAAGATTTCCTAAATTGCATGACACATAGAAATGTAAAAACTTCTGTAGCCCCCAAAATGGAAAGACTTGACAATACTGGGTACACATTCCCACAGGGCATCAGGTAAAGCCTCCTCTACTTGGGCTCCTCAAAATCCATACTGAGACTTAACTAAAGCAGGAAAAGGAGAAGGCGGATGGTTTTCCTCAGTCGCTGGATGTCTCTGAGTGCTTTCTCAATCCCATGTGAGAGATATTACTTAAAATATTAACCTATTCTTATCTTTCAATATTTCCTAGGCTCCTTGTATCCTAGACACAGAGTTTCTGTTTTTGAAAAGTAAAGTATATGCCTGGCTTAGTTAGACATACAAGTGATTTGTTGCATGGATTGTAAAACCGCTGAAAAGATTCTATGCTGTTATAAATTCTCAGTCTCCGCTAGGGGGCAGTTCAGTGTCATAAAAGCACTGACAAAAGACAGAAAACCCAGTAGAAAAGTGCTGGTTGATCCAGAGACAGAGAAGCATCTGTCAGACCATAAAACCTCAGAGGGAAGGTAGGAGAGGGTGGGGTAAGGGGGAGAAATAAACCAAAGGACTTATATGCAAGCATATAGGCCTAACCAGTGGACACAGACAACAGGGGGGTGAGGGCATGAGTGGGAGGGGGTGTAATCTGGGGATAAGGACACATATGTAATAACTTAATCAATAAAGAAATTTTTAAAAATAAAATAAAATTTAAAAAGTGCTGGTTGGCAAGCTAGGAATGGGAAAGAGAAGGGGGGGCTGTCCCTTTGGGTTGAAGGAATAGTATGAATTCTGTTGGCCTCTAAAGTTCTTAAAACTTGGAGGAACTCGGGCTGTAGAGGAAACCAGTGAGAATTTAGAAACTTACCATGATAATTCTATCTTTAAACACAATTGGAACCCTCCCGCCCATCCTCACTGCCCAAGCACTAGTTCAGATCATAATTCTCACCAGGTCTATTGCAAACATGGTCATTAATTGGCCTTACTTCTTAGCCTCACACATTCAGCTCTAACCCATCCTTCAAAAACAGCAGTTTCTTATCACTTCCCTGCTGGAAGCCTTCAGTGGTAACCAACCAGATTAGGATGCTGACCCCAAGCTGGCACACTCGACTCTTCAAATCTCACAAGTCCTGTCTTTCCAACTTCATCTCCACCACTCTCTATCCGTATCCTTGACCCAAGTAAATAACGACGTGTGTTATTAACAGCTATCTCTCCAAGACTGTAAACTCCACAAGAGAGGTATTGTGTCTGTATTTGTACAACTTTGTATCCTCAGCACCCAGCATATGCCTAACAAAAAGTGGGCATTCAATATATATTTGATGAGTAAATAAGTAAATGAATAAATTATAATGAGCTTTTGCCTTAGCGGGTTTTGTTCAGTGGTTAGAGTGCTGGCCCGGGTTCATTTCTGGTCAAGGACACATGCTTGGGTTGTGGGCTCGATCCCCAGTAGGGGGAGTGCAGGAGGTTATTGAGCACCTCGTTTATTTCATTTAACCCTCACAACAACTCTATAGGCTAAGTATTATTGTTATACCCATATTGTACAGGTGAAACTGAGGTAGTTTGTCTTTCCTGCTGCAGTCACACAGCCCATAGTTGACAATGACAGTAAGCAAATCAAGGGAATGACTCCAGAATTCATGCATTCTGGCTCTAATTACCTCAGCAATTTAAAAACAGCCTTCAGAATGTCATCTGGCTATAAGACTTTGTGTTTGAGACTTTTTTGGTTGCATTTGCACCCAAAATTAAGCTACAGCCTACAGTCCCAGAAGACTTATCAGTCTTCTTCTGCCCTGGCCTGCTGGTGTCCAAGACTTCTTGGTTATAGATCCAGATTCTTTCTCCAAACTGACCTAGAATTAGCAATATTTGCCAAGAGGTAAAGAAGTGGTGGTTAGAGAGGTTGCAGAAGAAAGCAGAAAAATATATGGCCCAGATGAAAATGTTTCAAGAAGGAAGAAAAAGTCAAGAGAATGAAGTATAAGAAAAGATTGCTGGATTTGACCATTAATGACCATTCAGAGATCAATTTTTATTGAGTGAGAAGGCAGAAGACAGAATACAAAGGCCTGCATACATGGTCTATGAAGAATTAGAAGATGTGATTGGAGAGGAATTTGTGGTAAATTTGGCAGTGAAAGCTAAGAGGGAACTTGCAAGTGGTCAGGAGTAGCAGAATATGGCCATCATTCTGCACATTTGTAGGCAAAGTGGTGTTGTCTACTGGTTATAAGTACAGGCTCTAGAAGCAAATTTCTGAGTTCCAATCTCAATTTGACCATGTAACAGGTATTTGGACAACTTACTTAAACTTCCTATGTTCAGTTCCCTTCTGCATTTAATAGTTATATCTTCTTTATCAGGTTACAGAAAGTTTTAAAGGTGATTGTGTAGATGAAGTACTTCACTCAGATCCGACTCACAATAAACCCTCAATTAATGTTAGCCACACTAATAATTATTAAAACACAAGGACCCAGTGATGATGGGCAGGGGTGGTTATGAAAGAGTAGATAATTGCTGGAAGAGAGTGAAGAGGTGATGGTCTAAAGAACAAAAATGGATGCATGTGCCTTACTAAACAGAATGACAACTCTGGATCTAAGGCCAAAGCCAGAGAAGAAGAACAGAGATTTGGAGTAGAGAGAACTTTACATTTGGTCATATTTTTGCCAGAAAGGCTCAGAAAGTTTTAAAGGTGATTGTGTAGATGAAGTACTTCACTCAGATCCGACTCACAATAAACCCTCAATTAATGTTAGCCACACTAATAATTATTAAAACACAAGGACCCAGTGATGATGGGCAGGGGTGGTTATGAAAGAGTAGATAATTGCTGGAAGAGAGTGAAGAGGTGATGGTCTAAAGAACAAAAATGGATGCATGTGCCTTACTAAACAGAATGACAACTCTGGATCTAAGGCCAAAGCCAGAGAAGAAGAACAGAGATTTGGAGTAGAGAGAACTTTACATTTGGTCATATTTTTGCCAGAAAGGCTGAGGTTTCATCTTCATTCTTTATACTAATATGTACTTATCATCTAATATAATAATAGTGGAATATGCAAATTAGCCAGGATGCCGTAACATCACGACCAATCCACAAGCGGCAGAGAGCTATAGGAGGGCGGGGCAGTGAGCTAGGAGCAGCAAAAAGCTAGCAGCAGCAGTGGGCGGGGTGGCCAGCTGAGGCAAGCAGCAGTGAGCTACTCACGCACGGTGCACGAATTCTTGCGCAGAGCTACTAGTAAATAAATAAACAAAGACAACTCTGTAAGTAGCAATTATGTTTACATAGATGAATGGGTTAATAATTTAGGAGAGAAAATTGTGACAAAGGTGGAAAAGGCTCTTTAGCATGATGAGGGATATTTAGGACAATCATAATGAAAGTGTTTTCATGAGATGCATAAAAATAAAAAATTGTTTGAAGCATCAGGTTGTAGAAACACATTAAGAAGCTACAGTGGGCTGAGCCTGTGGTATAGGTCTTTTATACATTAAAGCTATTTCCTTTTTGAAATGTGACTTACTACCACATTATAATTTGTAAAATCACTTATAATATACAAGGGAAGACTTAAAACACCAATTGGGGTGGAAGTCCCTGGGTGCTCTTTTTGAATATAGAATGCCAAAAATTTGCTAGATGTAGATAGAAAAAGAGCTGGTGAGACTGTGAAGGGAGGCAATCCTTTTTCCAATTAGTTTGCCTTCCCTTTTCCTAAAACATAGAATGAACATCATGTTGAACATTATCTCACTCAGCTCTCTTGTGTTAGAACTATTAGAACAGGATCTCAGCCAGCTCTCATATTAGAACTATTGGAACTATAACTTAGAGAGGTTAAATGATTTCCCCAAAGTCCCACAGACTTCCTGGCACAGTTAGAACTAAATTCTAGGTTTTCGTGATTTCCAATTCAATAGCCTTCCCATTAGTCACATCTCTATCTGTCTTCCCTGAGTTCTCCTCAACTCTACCAGCTCCCCCAATAAGCCCTGGTCAACTTAAATTGCACTCTCTAGACACTGTATATTTCAAAACAATACCTCCCTTCTTTGAACTATGTTTCTTTTTCTTATAGTAGCATCTGAAAAAATAGACCCATTCCTAAAGATTAATATTAAGGGTGTATGTGTGCATGAGCATATACATGTATGTTATGTGTGTTTCACGTATTCATATGCATGTTGGGTGTTGTATATCCCTCTGATCATAATAACCATATCATTAGACCTTCTCAAAGTTTAAAAGGATACATTATTATGATATGATTTTCAACACTTAGCAGCACATATGCAGAGTAAGAGTAGAATATACTTCATTGGAACTTGGATTTAGTTTACCCCATTCTTTTCACTAAGGGAAAAGAACAGTAATATATCCTAGTAGAGAGGAATACCAGAAGAATGGCAGAGTGGTTAAGAACAACTCCTTTTGGGAGTATGACACCCCTCTTGAGATAACAAGTAGAAAAAGAACTTAGTGTGCTCATCAGTGATGTAAGCAGAATTCTCCTGAATATACAAACATAGTTCTTATATCCCAGCCCCTGATGTCCAGCCAGTAAGTACTTTTTAGCTGCATAACTCTGGGCAAGCTACTTAAACTATCTTTGCCTCATTTTTTTTATTTGTAAAATAAGGACAATAATAGTGACCAACTTATATGGTTGTTGTATGAACTGTGTTAATACATAGGAAGTGTTTAGAAATGCCAGGTATATAACGTCCTCATTACATGTTTGTAAACTTACCAACATATTGTAAATAATATCAACATAAATATGTGTGATAAGGGTTTAAATGAATCAACCCTGTTTAAAAGTCCAGCTTACACAGCTGGGGTTGGTTATTCTAAGCCACGTTCTCTCACTGAGCTCCAAGCATATCCTGTATTGCAGATGTTAGGCCCAACTCTGGGATGCTCCCTCATTCTCTCTGTCTTTTTTTAAATATATTTTTATTGATTTCAAAGAGGAAGGGAAAGGGAGAGAGAGACAGCAACATCAATGATGAGAGAGAATTACTGATTGGCTGCTTCCTGCAGGCCCCACACTGGGGATCAAGCCCACAACCCAGGCATGTTTCCTGGCAGGGAATCGAACCATGACCTCCAGGTTCATAGGTCGATGCTAAACCACTGAGCCAGGCAGGCCTGGCTCTCCTTCTTTCTTAAATACATTGGAAACAGTATAAATGCCAATTGGTGGATGAATGGATAAAAAAATTTGGTACATACACACACACACACACACACACACACACACACACACACTGGAATAATAGTCAACCATAATAAGAAGGGAATCTTGCCATTTATGACAACATGGCTGGACATTGAGGGCATTATGCTAAGTGCAATAAGTCAGACAGGAAAAGATAAATCCTGTGTGATCTCACATATATATGGAATATGAAAACAAAACAAAGAACTAGAGCACATGAATATGGAGAACAGATTGGTGGTTATCTGAGGTCAAAGGTACAAGTTTCTAGTTATAAAATGCATAAGTCCTTGGTATGTAATGTACAGCATGGTGCCTATAGTTAAAAACACTGGCCGAAACTGGTTTGGCTCAGTGGATAGAGCGTCGGCCTGCGGACTGAAAGGTCCCAGGTTCGATTCCGGTCAAGGGCATGTACCTGGGTTGTGGGCACATGCCCAGTAGGAGATGTGCAGGAGGCAGCTGATCGATGTTTCTCTCTCATCGATGTTTCTAACTCTCTATCTCTCTCCCTTCCTCTCTGTAAAAAATCAATAAAATATATATTTTTAAAAACAAACAAACAAAAAACACTGAATTGTATATTTGAAAGATGATAGGAGGATGGATCTTGAAAGTTCTTGTCATAAGAAAAAAAATTGTAACTATGTATGGTGATGGATGTTAACTGGACTTATTGTGGTGATGATTCTGCAATATATACAACTATTGAATCATTACATTGTATTCCTTAAATTAATCTAAGTCAATTATACTTCAATTTAAAAAATATTATCATCATGTATATATATCAATATATAACATATTTATGATATACATATATATATAGATCATCACTATTAGCAATTCAAGGTTCTGAAGGGTAGCAGAATATTCAATTCAAAATACAACTCTCAGCATAAAGACTATTTTTAACTAAAGGCAATTGAGAAGAAGCTGGCATAAGGAAAGCTCTCCACTCTACCCCCATTTAGCTAAAAGCAGGACATAAATTTGTGAAGGTGTTCCCCCTTCCCTCTTTAAGAAGACAAAAGTAACTCTCGTTAGCCCAGAGAAGGCGCCATCTACATAATAAAATTTACCAAGTAGCCCTTATCTTCCATTAGCTTCCCTAAATATTTGCCTTCCCATAATTCGCCACTCCCAGAAACTCAGCCTGTTTCCTTTGTCTTGCCACTAAAAATTTATTATTTTGTTAAGATGCTATATGAGCCCAAGTTCTAACCACACGTTGAGTTACTCATCTCGTATGAATGCATGATGCAGGTGTTCATAAACTCCTGTTTGTTTTTCTGCTGTCAGTCTATTTTAGGGCCCCAGCCAATGCACCTAAGATGAGTAAAGCAAAAAAGCATTTTTCCTCCCCTACAGCTTTAAAAAAAATGATAAGCCTGTGTGTCCAATCTCAAAGAGCTTCTCACATTCCAAGTGGAAAGTTAAATTTTACAAATTTAAATAAAAGTAGATGTGTCAGGACAGTACAGAACCAGGGAATGGGGCAGGACTGGACGTTTCTTGCCCTGTTCTTATTTAATGGCTCACATTCTTTATAGGAAATGCAGGGTGACTGGTACAGGGTGAATGAGGGACTGGCACATGCACATGAGTAGGTAATGTTTAAATATTTGAGAGATTACTCCAGAGCTTTGCAACCTTCTTAAAATTATGGATGGGAGAGTGTCACAGAGGATTCACCCCAGACCTTCTGGATCAGAATACCAGAAGGAGAGGCTAAGCTTGTTCATTTTCCTTTTTCCATTCACATGTAACTCCCAAATGCAACTGGAACAAGCAACCTACGTTTTTTTCCAATCTAAAAGAACCCATTTCCCTTCAGCATTTTTCATCCATCACCGAAGTCAGATTCTAATTCTGGACATTTAACAGCATGATGTTAATCCAGATATCGAGAAGTTGGTATCTTGGGATACTGAGGATTTTCTGAATCTTTGGCAGAATCAGTGGAGCTCTCAAATCCATTGCTCTGGGATACCGTGAAATCTGTCAACTGAAAATGAGGAATGTCTAAACCCATCAGTTAAATGAAAAGTCTCTGTGGGAATTCAGTGAGAGCACCTTTCACACTAGTGGAATATCTCTTGGGTTCAGGGCTGCTGGAGAGTAACAAGACAGCAGAGCAAACACATCCAAACATAGCCATTCCCTGAACAGCATCCTGCCACAGCTGTCATGCTGGGAGATTAGACATTTACTCTGAAACCTGCTACTCTAAATAGTTTTGCAAGTGCCTTTACCTACCCTCATTTATAGCTACTTTTACCTAAAAACAGGAAAAGGGAGAAGGAGGAGGAGGAGGAAGAGGAGGAGGAGGAGGAGGAGGAGGAGGAGGAAGAGTTGTTGATATTAAGGGGAATCCTGAAAATTGAAAAATTATTTTCCAAAAAGGTAAACAATTTTTTCCTAGAAATGACTGAGTTGGCATGTGTTTTGTGTTTTTAAAGTAGACAGTGTACATTAAATGGGAGAGCCTAAAATCCACTTCCACTTGTCAAACTGAGATGCATGGCAACATTTATTTTAGTTCTACCTTAGACTGTTTTTGGTTCAATATTAATTATGAGCTTTGATTAGTTACCTATGGTCATCTAGGTAAATTAGGGTTTTCCCTCTCTCTCACTCTGTGTGTGTGTGTGTGTGTGTGTGTGTGTGTGGTTGTTGTATTTGTTTCAAAATATCATAGTAAATTCCAAGTTGCTTTGTCCTCAATAGATCTGAAAAGTGAAGCATGTATTCCACTTCTGGGCATATTCTCATTGATATTTACAAGTGATTCAACATGTCTTGCCCTGCCTTGCCTTGCATGACTCAACCACTTGCCAAATCAACACACAATCAACAAACAACTGCACTGCTCAAGCAGAGTTCTTTTTTTAAATGTAATTATTTCCAGGGCCTAGACTACAGTTAACTATGCACTGGCTATGCACAGTGTGGTATGTGGACCAACAAAAGCATCAGTGAGCTGATATGTATAATCTTAGGTCCCACTGGCCTCACCCAGAGCGGCAGAATAAGAATGTGCATTCAAAACGAAATCTTGAGGTGATCGGTGCACATTAAAATTTGAAAAGCACTAGCCTAGATCACTGTGGTAGTAAACTGATCACTTGTACCACCTGGATGCTCTTCTAAAAGTAGGTTTCTGACACTACCACAGACAGGGAGACACACTCTGTGGGGAGGAGGCACTTGAATCTGCATTTTAAACAATTTTCTCTCGCTGACATTTAGACAATCTAAAGCATGAGAGTTACCTGAGTGTTTCAAGTGTTGTCATTTTCACCAGACCAAAGTCACTGGGCAAGACATTACCTAGAATTATAAACTAATCAAAGAACACCTTGACTATAAAAAAGTAAACACACACACACACACACACACACACACACACACACACACACACCCCTGGCATTAGAAGTAACTGCAAATGGGGAGAAACTGCCTTTAGTACTAGAAGAACCACCCAATGAGGTTCTGCTGAGCACCTGTAATGAAATGCAGACTAACCGGTTGATGTGTTAGGGAGCAAATAGTGAATAATAATGCCGTCGCATCTCTTGTACTTGTTGAAGCATTACTCACTTGCACTCCTTTGAAACGTAGTTAAAAATTAATTTGATTCTAATAGGCTACTTTCAATACAGGAAAAAGCATTTTTTGTATCCATCAGTTGTGAAAAAAACTAAAAAAGTATATTTGAAAATGTATTGTTTTTTATTTCTCTTCTATACAGAGAGTCTTCATTAACAATTACTAGAGGTGAATTTCCTTTCAAATACCAAGCTGAAAGGCGGTACTCTGTATATGCATTTCCATAAGAGAACCAGTCTATCTTTTGTATGTTTAGAAAATCCAGTTAGGTACAATTTTCACTTTTCCTCGGGATGTTTGACGTCACAATAGGACAACTCAAACTCCACTTTGCAAGGTCCAAATTACCCTGCAGACATGTGGATTCGCGAAATGTGTGTTGTATTCCATTTTAGAATGGCAAGAACGATTTGCCCTAAAATATTAAAAATATCAGAAAGATGAACACACAGGACTTTGTTTTGACTTGATGCGCTCACAGAAAGTTCAACAGAAGAAAAGGAGACAGATTAACAGGGACAGGAAGTTACATTCGAAAAACATGAGCAGTTTTTAACACCTTTGGAGTCTTATTTTCAGAAAGATTACCTCAGAGTATAGGATCCCCATGCTGGTCTCTCACAGACTTACTTCACCCCCACAGCTTCTCGAATCTTCCGTAGGTTTTCCTGATTAACATCAAAATGCTTCCCGGCAGAGAGAAAGGTCCCAGAAGTCCAGGTCAGTGGCAAACCCTTTCTTTCCACACCTGTGAGTGCATTTCCAGCGACACAGACAGCAACACCACCTTCTAGAGGGCCCAACCCAATGAAATAAAGGCATTGGTTACCCGGTAATGACCCACGCTGTGCATCATCTAAAGTTACAAGCCTGAGAAACCGGTTTCTGAGTCACATCTGCTCTGCCAGGGGTAGCAAGTGGGAAGAAAGAAGCAAAATTGAGGAGGAAAGGAAGCTTCTCACATTGGCAGGAAGGACACGGAGTTCAAAACGGGGTACTGTGTTTAGGACATTTCCTCATTGAAATCTGGTTTTCAGAGGCGATTGCGAAAGGCTAGAAAGCAGCAAACTCGTTGGTTAGAACCATATGTCTGCCATAGGCCTTGACTTTCATGAAAAATCATCTTCAAAACTCTGGCTATGGTTTATTTGCTCTCTTTAAGTACAGAGAAGTTTATTTTTTCTTGATGTTGATTAATATAGGCTACTTAAAATAATAAATTAAGGTCAATTTATAAGCTATTGTACACATAATATTTTATTTACTTGATATACATGAATTACTATTATTTTATATTTTTATAAAAATATATTATTTTCTATACATAAATGTGTCCATAATCACTTTCAAGGAGATCTTTGAGTCAAGTTTCAACTCAAATGGAAAATACTAAACTCTTTGAAGAATCAATCCATTAACATCCTAGTTAAATTATTACAAAAGGTTTAAATGACATTTATAGCATTACTATACTTAAGTTTTGTTTTTAAGCACTTCAATTCTAAGCCTAACAGGGAATATTTTCCCAACTAACTAAATGGTCTTATAAATCTAGTAAATTATACTAACATAATAAATATTAAGTTGTCTTAAACATTTTAATGCTGTTTACAAATTTAGCCAAATTATTTTATAATATTTAATTTAAAAATTGTAAGTCTAAAATCAATTACTCTATTACACATTTTAAATGGAATTACCAGGTCACTTGGTCAAACATGGTAACATGCCAAATCCCTTAAACATTGTAAACATTTTCTGTATTAATATCAGATACTCACACATTTTCTCTGAACTTCTCAGTCATCACAAAGTGTTAAACTTTCCGGGATTTAAAATACCCACACACATCCATGAAAGAAACAGTTCAGTCATTCCAAGAAAATTGATGTGGTTGATCCAATTAGTTAAGGTTCTTTAGTGGCCAAGATCAAGGACCAGGATTCAAGTCCTGAGCCTATTCAGGGAAATTCTTCCTCCTCCACTGATCACATGTGAATCATTTCTATTATTGTTATAAAAGAATTACCTACTTTACTATGGACTTGGACTAGGGGCCACCTGGTAGGAGTTTAAGAGTTCGGTAGTCTGATGGAGACAGAAGTCTGCAATATCCTCTAAGATTGCAGTTGACTTCCTCATTGGCTTGCTTTTCTTTGAATTTCTTTAGTTTCTTAAAACATTTAAGTGTCTTTTCCATAGACTGAAACATTGGTATTTCCATCAGGCCCATCACTTGCTTATGCAAATCTTTCATAACCCCTTTTATTTTCTTTTGTAACCTCCTTTAACTAGCGTGTGTGGCGGAACTCTTTGCTCTCACAACCTCTCTGCTAAGGTTGCTGCTAGCTTCCTTCTCCAAGCTCTTTCTGATGGAACTCAGGTTTCTTTAATTTCCTATCAGGACCACAATCACCTAATTGGATTCGACATCTCTCTCTTCGCTGCGTCTTGAAGGTTAGCAAAATATGCCATTCTAAAACGGCCTTTTTGGTATAAAGATTACGTTGAATTGGTTATTTTTGAGAAATTGTAGACACACAAGAGAGTCTCTGAAAATAGAGTGAAATTTAACCTGCTGGAAAGGATATTTAAATTTATAAAATAAATCTCCATTTGTAAAGGTGTCTCCTGTCCGTACCAGGAGGAGAAGGGTGACTCGAAATCTCTGGAAACTCTTATGATATGGTTGTATTTAACCCAGTTATTCATTAACTGGAAAGGAACAAGGGGAGGGTCAGATAAATGTATGCTCAATGAGGTCTGGGTGACTTAGGGAGAGTGCTTGTCTCTCGGTCACACCTGGGAACAGGTCATGGATCAGAGTAGGCATGGTGACTGCGAGCATGGGAAGATTTGAGACACATCAGCTCCTGAACAAAGGAGTTCCCCCTCTCCCTCTCTTGCTGCTTGCCCCTGACTCCTGGCTTGTGGAGCTCTTACACTCTGCACTGGGCCCCACACACAATGGACTAATGAACTGGAACTAATCTGATGCTGTACTGAACTCAACTCTGCCATGGAAGAGAAACTCTGGATGCTGGCTTTGCTTCTAGGTCTGCTGAATCCCTAGCTGTTCCTTTTCCAGGACAGGTTTAAGGGAAATGGGACTTTAGAAACCCAGGGATGGATGTAATTCCACTGAAATAAAGCTTTCCACCACATCTCATCTTCAGGTGGGCGCCTCCAGGAAATGCTTATTTCAGTGGCACCCCAAGAACCCCACTCCCACTAGCCACAGAGCGAGGCAATCCATGAAATTCTCCAATAACATTATCAGTGGAGAAGCCATAGACCCTGCATAACAAACTTGATCCTTATTTGCTGTACTTTTCCTGGTAACTTCCATAACTGCCCCTCCCCAGCATCTTTTTTTTTTCTTTAGCTCAAAATGGTATTTTAAGTGGTGACTTTGGCCACTTCAGGGAGTTTTACTCAGTTTTCCTGGGTATCTCCCATGTATACATGAGTTATACATGTTATTCAACTTCTGTTTGTTTTTCTCTTGTTAATCTTTCTTTTATTATGGGATGGGGAACCTCAATCAAGAACCTCGAAGGGCATAGGAAAAGTTATCTTTTCTCCCCTACAATGTGTTTCTAAAAGCACAATGTTCATTATGATTATGAAAGGTGAACTCTTTCAATGTAGAGTTGACTCTTAAAACAAACCAATCAAAACACAATTGAGTCATGGCAATTGGTAAAACCCTTATATTTAACTCTAGGCCAGTGAGTCCTTACCCAGAGAAGATTTTACCCCCAGATAGGGCTGCCAGATTCAGCAAATAAAAATACAAGATGTTCAGTTAAATTTGAATTTTAGAGAAATTTCTGAAATATTGCATGGGATATACTTATAGTAAAAAAGTATGTCTTCTTTAACTGAAATTAAAAATATTTGGCAATGTCTGGAGACATTTCTGACTGCCACAACCAGAGCGGCGGCATGCTACTTGCATCTAGAAAGTAGAAGCCAAAGATTCTGCAAAACATCCTGCAGGGTGCGAACAGCCTCTCGAAGCAGAGTTATTCTGCCCAAAATAATGCTGCAGTAGAGAAACCACAGTCTAGGTTAGGGCCTAGCCCTAGACTCTAGGCCAGTGATGGCGAACCTTTTGAGCTCGGCATGTCAGCATTTTGAAAAACCCTAACTTAACTTTGGTGCCATGTCACATATAGAAATTTTTTGATATTTGCAACCATACTAAAACAAAGATTTATATTTTTGGTATTTATTTTATATATTTAATCGCCATTTAACAAAGAAAAATCAACCAAAAAATGAGTTCGCGGGTCACCTCTGACATGCATGTCATAGGTTCGCCATCACTGCCCTAGGCCAACAGTACAATTAAAGGTGAAGGAAGAGAACTTGATAAACTCATAGTGTTAGAATGAAATATGTTTGCAGAGGAGGAAAAAAAATCTTTCCATCTATCCTTCTAGGTTCTTGGCGGGGCTCTGTAACAAAAGACAGGGGTTGAGTGTGGGGCCTAAGGTTTCGCAGGCTTACTCTTTATTGGTGAATTTAAAACATAACAGTGGGAATTTTAAGTGCAGGAAGAGAAAAAAAACAAGTTGCCCAAATCATCAGTTATTGAACTCAGACAAGATCCTTAAACATCGGAGCCTCAGTGAGGTGAGGCAGGCTGGCTCCTTATGTGGCTGATGATGTGGTTATTCCAGATGGCCTTCTCTGAAGTAAACGTCCCTTTGAAGTGAAGCCTCGGCAATCAAAGCTTAAGTCAGGTACTTGCGTTCCGAAAAAGAAAAAGAAGAAAAAGAAAAAGAAAGAGAAAGAGAAAAAGAAAAAGAAGAACTTTCAGGGCTTACACTGCCCACACCTGCTTCCTTGGTTCCTCTTTTAACACACTACAAATCTCCCTCTTGCCCAAACTTACCCCTCGGGAAGAGCTCTCCACTGCTTGTGAAATATTGTACTCCCCAACTCATGGATTGCTTTCCGTTGAATAAAGGACATCAAATTCATTACTAAGTAGTTTTATTTTTATCACTTGACAGCTATTATCTTTCCGGTTTAAACACACACTTCTACATTTTGTTCTGTGATGCTACACCAGTCGTCTGTAAGCTAGATCTCCCCTCACCCCCCCCCACTGGCCTCTTGTTAGGTTCTCCCATTAGGAAGCACTCAAGGGAGACCTCAAGGCTGAGGCCTGAGAAAGAAACCTACTCATTTCCACATGTGTGCTGATCCTATCAGCATAAGCTTAGACTCCAGAAGCAGCAATTGGTTTGCTTTTGTTTTTGTTTTCCCACACTACGGGAACCAGCCTAATCACATCCTTCAGAGGCAGGCACTGTCAGCAGCTGTCTCCTTCCCACAATGCAACTTGATGCAAACCCTCCGTTGACCTCCTGAAGTAGCAGCAAACAGACAGTGGCCCCCTTCAAGGCCTGGGTCCCAAGAATTTCAGGGTCCTTCCTCAAGCTCTTAGATTCTGATAACCCCAACCTCTGCTCTGTGTTCCCCAGTCCCAGAGGTGGCAGCTGCTCCAGCAATTCTCTGTATTCCCTTGGTTTTCCCTCTTTGTCTATTCAGCCCTTCAGTAGCCACTTAACCAATTCCTTAAATTAAATTCTTTGTGAAAATAACTAGTACAAAAAAAATTACCTAGTATGGTTTTTGTTACTGGACCCTGACTGAGGTAATACTCCAGAGATGTTTAGAAGCTACAAATAGCAGGAATTCTCAATTGGATATAAGATATGTGGGAAATGGCAAATGGGGGATAACACACATGTAGGATATTTGGTGGATTTTTGATAGCTTTGTCAACCAAAATTAATTTTAGACTGTAATAAAGAAAAAAAGTATATATTTGAGCAAAAAGAGCTACAGCCAGGGAGACACAAATTCAGGTAACAGCATAAATTGTGT